TTCCGATGGCTGTTTCACCCCCCATTTGCTGGAGAGTGGAAATAGTGGGATGGAGTTCATCAATACATCAATCTAAAATCTAGCTTATTTACTCAAGATAGTAGGTTTAAAGACTAGTTCTCCTGTAGAAGAAGAAAGGTTGTTCTCCCTCTCTGCCACCTAAAGTTTTCCCCCATTTCCCCTGTTAAGTTTCTGCTGCTTACCAGTTGTTCTCAAATGTATAGCTGGATTTTGAGACCTTTTGATTTTAATTTGTTTCTTTCTCTAAACTGTTCCCAAGTCAAATTGCTTTTCTGTGCCTAGAGTCTTGTTTGCCATCACCATTATGCTTCAGCTTTCTGCTGGTTTTATTCTCCTGCTTTCCAAATTCTTGCATGTATTTGGCTGTTATGACTCCTGTGCTTCTCCTTCCTTTCTGATGTTCTTGATGGTCTTTCCCCTCAGTGGGTTCAGTCTCCTCCCAGCTCTTTAAGCTTTTCTTTTTTGGTATCTGTTCCTGGATGACTTCACACACGTTTGATTTTAACTTCATGCAAGTTACTCATAATTCAGCCTTTCCAGTCTTGAATAGTTTTCTCCACCAACATTTTCATCTGGTCTTTCTGTATTTCTTCTGTAACCTTATCCCAAAGGAGAACACAGTATGGCTAGAGCTCTCTGGAGGATGCACTCTGCCAGGCGAGCTCAGGGGCACGTTGCTGTGGCTGCTGACGAGGTTACTTTGACTTTTCTTCTCTGGTATAACTTCTCTGTGCCAGCCTCGTGGCAGTCACTGTCACCGTAGCGAAGCACAGAGGTGGGAAAATGTCTCACCTGTTGGAGTTCAGCTTGAACCACCAGAGAAGGTGGCTGGTGCTAATGATCCGAGCTGTGGGACAGCAAAGTCATGGGCCATTTTGTCCCATTTTGCTGACTGTGCTGCCAGGGCAGTCAGCGGCTCCGTCAGCAGGGGAACCAGCAGCTGGGCTGGCAGGGTCAGAGCCAGCAGCCGCAGCAGGCTGTCATAAAGGTTGGTTTGAGTCCCTACAAATTTTATGTCAATAATCTTGCCTATTAATTATTTCACATTCTCATCTTTTCAAGTACCATATAGAAAAAGGCTGCTTTTGTTTCTTTGTCCGTTCTGTCTTGTTTCTGTATTTAACTTACTGTTTTCTAAAAAGTTTTTCTAGACTAGTAAATGCAAAATATTTCTGAAAAATAAAGCTTAAATTGTGATTCTTTTTTAATTAATAATGAGAATTCAAGAACATAAGGAGCTGTGTTCATGAGTCAGGAGCTACTTGAAGTATTTTTACTTTTACAGATCTCAAAATATAAACAGAAGAAAAAATAATATAAAATTTGTCATTGTTTTATAGGAGCAAAAATGTAGTCAGTGTAGTTAAATGATACGCGTTTTTCAAAATATAGAAATGTTTTCATTAATAACATTCTCAATTTAAATAAACATTTAAAGTTTCAAAACAGTTTAAGAAAAAGAACTTCGAATGTTTCCAATGTCAGATTTTCTTTGTGTAAGTTGATAGTGTAAAATTTCAATTTATAAACTGTGAAATGATCAGTGATAGCTTTAATGCAAAAAATACACCACTAGTTATTAGACATTTCAGAGGTCTGATGAAAGTATTCATTTCCAGCTAGATCATGTCTAAGAATTTAGCTGAACATCAATATTTATATTTAGGTAGTGCAGGAGTTTGAATCATACCTTCTTTCAAGTTCTAAATATGGACCGTGTTTGCATTAGTGAATCATAAGCATAGAACTTAGAGCTGAAATAAAATCTTTTTCTCCAGAGGTGCTTAAATATACATGACCCTAATCTTGGATCATACATGCATAGTTCCGAAGAGTTGTGTATTTGAAAACAAAAACAAAACATAAAAAAAATATTGAAATATCATCTGCACTTCTTGTAGTTTCTTGTGACAGGGAAAAATTAGTATCATGGAGTATAAAACTGTGGTGAATAATAGGTCGCTTCTTATGTACAAAAAGAGAACATTACTACCTTTATATTGCCTTGTGTATTTGCTGTCCAATTAATTCTGTGCAAGTCTTGTTTGTGATAGGATCCAAGTCTTATTTCTTGGCACTTGTAATTTGTGTGTTTTTTAAAAAAGAGTCCCAACCTTTTCTGTAAAAGTCTAGTCTGAGAGAGAGTTTTTTGGACTAAGCATTCACTATAGCAAATGCAGAGTACAAAGAAGGTGCTGAAGAGATGTCCCGTTGCTCTGTGAATATGGTCATTTTTTCATGTGTTCAGGACATATGGAAGTTCTCTTGAGGACAGGCTCTCATCACCTCTAGTTGAATACATTAAGTAAAATCAAAATAGCTTTATAAGTTTTGCTTGCCGATTTAATTATTGCCCAATGTCTCTGCTGCTGACTATTTTAAGAGCAGCTACAGTGGACAGAGAGTAGTGTGTTAGAAGAAGCAATGATGGTACACAAGCAGGAAAGAAATCTTAGTATGGTCAGTGTACAGCATGAGCAAGTTGTGATGACAGAAGCTCTTCTGGAAACTTGACTGAGAAAAGACATCATTTCTGGCTTTCCTAATCTTGCCTAAAGTACGAATCTTTGCACCAAGATAAAATAATACCAGAGTTTGGGTAAAAGATCTTCTACTGAAAACTGTAGTATATTGTGGTTGAGCATGTTTTTTGGGAGGAGGAAGGAAGGGGTTGATAGGTTCCAGTTGTTGTGAGTGAAGAAAAGCACGGTGAATACCAGGCATTGATTGGCATTGGTTAGTAGTGCTCGGGCTGCATCGTTCTTTTGTGTGTGGTGTCCAGGAGCCTGGTCTGGCATTCGGAGCAGGAAAGTGTCTAATTAACACTGGCGGTGGCATAACTCACTGTACTAGTGGGCAGAATCTGTTGTGCAAGTTTCATTGTCAAGAGTAGGTTCTTTTGAACGTGTTTTAAGTTGCTACCCTTTACTCTGCAAGTGGTGCTTTAGATTGTTTTCATCTGTTTTCTCTATCTGCCTGATTGTTTTTAAACTGCAATATAGAACCTCATTAAGTTGAACCGGTCCATGAATGTGCCCTAGCTTTATGTGGAAAAATGTAATTACAGAAGACTTGTTTTAGAAGCCTTAAGTCTAAGACTTAGAAGTCTACTGTAAGTAGCCTGAAGTAAAAGCGAACACTATTTTTGTTTTAGTGTATCTTTGATATTTCACATGCATCTTTAGAGAGCTGCATGTGATTGCATGGCTTTTACATATGTAATGCTTCATAATACACCTTTCCAGGAGGAACTGTAATTGTTAGCCTGAGGTTTTTAGCTTAGATCTAAAGTAAAGCTGATCTTTGGTGGGAGGGGAACTGGCAATTTCTGATGGTAAATAGTAAAAAATTTATAACTGTGTCTTGGGAAGAAACCCAGAAATAATTAGTTAGATTGTGTTTAAATGTTTTTATCAATTTGTACAATAGGCATAGAAATTAGACAATAGCAAATTCCCATGAAGCAGATCTTCCTCTGTGTTTGTCTTGTTGAAGACTTAAGAATTTCAAGATTACCGTGTGCTCATTACCTTCTGCTTTTGACATAATAGCTTGTAGCATTGTCTGGAAATTATTTTCTATTCTACAGTCTCCTCCGTTCAGGAAAAAACACAACTGGAATAGCATAATGTTTTTTTTAAAACATTTACATTATCCTTGAGAACATAGAGTTTCTGGTCATTTGTCATTATCTGCCTTTTATTAAGTAGCAAGTAAACTGGCATCAGAAAAATGTAGCCCTTTTCTATTCTTCATTAAGTAGTTTCTTCTTAACTGTTATTGTAATTGTTATAATAGATTCACTGTTACAGTCACTGATATGATACCATCTGATAGCATTCATGTCAACAACATTGATGTGTTCTGCTTTACCCTAAACATCTCAACATTTTCCAGAATGCTTTACTTTTATTGTTGAGTATGTTATCAATTTGCAAATTACTCTTTAATAAAATAACTGTTGCTGTTATTCCTGCTATAATGCATAGTTTTCACTACAAAACTAAAAGTATTACTAAACCATTTTTCACAAGTTTAAAAGGTATTACAAATAACGAAGACTTTTCAAAATAGAAAAGAACTTTAGGAGTTCTGTATCTAGAAAAAGCTGTAAATTTTAGGTTATAGGTGAGATTTTTTTAGAGCCTTAGGAGAATGAGTTTTCTAACTATCTTTGACTTCCGAGGTTTTTTTTTTTTTAATTTCTGCAATTTCATAAATTATTTTATTTTTAAAATTGAACCTTTTGTCAGGCTTTATTAGGCTTTTCTTTGAAAAATCTATTGTTCAAGCTATACATGAACTGCAGAAGCAACAGAGAAAGAAAGGAAGCGGGACATGCGACAGGTGGTTGGTAAGCACCTGCCTGAGCCAAGTCATTTCAGCTATATTTTCCTCAATCTCAATCATGAATTCCCCAATAAATTAAAAATTCCTAAGATTATTTGGAGGTCCTGTGGAAGGGAGCTAGTATGAAGGGGTTCCAGTAACCAGGTAAGCTTCTAGAGCCCCTCTGAAGGGAATGGTTGGGCAACAGCTTAATGCCACACATCTCATGCTTCAACAGAAGTACTGGAAGATGCTTGTTTTGCTTATTTGTTTCATAGGAATGCTCACTGGATTGAAGAAACTTTTTATATAAGACAAGTAGAAGGATGTTCATACTTCAGGAGACTTGGGTTTTCTCTTGATCTTAATTCTTGTAATTTCAAGCTAATGTGCAGAGCATTCAGTGGTTTTCATGTGTATGGAGACATCGTTCTGTACCCACAATTTACTAGACGTATACATTGTGTATATAAAAAACATACACTTCGTGGAGTTTTTTAATCAGTTTAATGTGTTAAAATTATACACAAGAATTATATTCAATCTGCGTGCATCATGCTAATAGAGTTAGGCTATGAATAATGTCGTTGGCTTTGTCTTTCATAAACTTTTCAGATGCCAAATAATATACTGACTGTTAATGTTTCCAGGCTTTGCTGTCTGTACATGATACTGTTGCTCAGAAGAACTACGATCCTGTCTTGCCCCCCATGCCTGATGATATTGATGAGGAAGAAGATTCTGTTAAAATAATCAGGCTTGTCAAAAACAGGGAACCATTGGTAAGCAACCCTCTCTTTTAGTTTGGGTTTTTATGTTTGTGCACAGGGTGGGGAGTGTTCAGATCATGAATACGAATGGGTGACGTTTACTTGAAATGTGGGTAGACAGACATTACACATGTTTATTCATAACATTCAATAATACACTTAGGACTTCCATTCGCAGTCATTACTAGTAAAGTGCCCGAAATGAATAATGTGTTCATTTGTGGTGTTTGAGCAATATATATGTGGGCCAGTCTAAGCATTTAGATCAATAATATATTTGCCTTTTATCTTGAATTCCAATCATGAACTTGTTTTAAAATGAGAGAGGCAGAATGAATCCCCAAAGAAATCTTGACCTTTGTTTTGAACTGTGCCTGTTAGCATTCATCTAGAAAAAAAGTGACCTTTTGTTACACTGAAAAGAAAGCATAAAAACATATTTTAAAATACTTGAATTGAAATCTGGGCAAATCTAAGATGTCTGTTGTTGTACTTTGGATTATGAATACTAGAAAGTTAATATCTTCATGGGGATATCTGGAAAAATGAAAGGACTAAACCTAGGTTGTATTACAAGAATATTAAAATGCTTTACTGATTTGGTTATTTTTATTTGCTGTAGAGTGGGAGTCATCTTGTATAAAATTTAACTATACTCTTTTTCTGCTGCAAACCAGTAAGAGCTTTGTTTTATGTTGAGCTGGATATTTGTTTTAATGGGTAGCAATCCTGAAGATATATCTGCAAAGTTACTTTGAGAAAGCCATGATTCTGTACTTGAGATGACAAAGGGAGAGCTATGCCTCTGTTAGATATACAGGGATAGCTTGTCCCACAGTAGATATCTTGCTATCACTCTTATTCTTGATGGCTTTCTGGCATCGATAAACAAGAACTAAGGTTTGGTATTGACTGCCTGTAGGTGCCCATGGGCATAATTAAAAGTTTGACCATATGGAAAGTTTTTACTTTGTTTTAACATATTAAACATTTTTTCCCCAAAATATTTAAATTGCAGCTTTAAGCTTTCCTGGTTTTTATCAAAGAATGTCTTTGAGGAAGAAAACAACCTTGCTTTAGGATTTGGTATCAGAAACAGTATTTGCTCTGAAAGGTGTGAAAAAAATTGAATATAGTATGAGATGAGTTCTAATTGAGTAGCTGATTTTTAGTGTTAATGAAAGTACCTTTATTGATTTTTCTTGAATTTATGTCAGAAAAATCTTAAAATCTTGATTTACGTAGTTTCATGTTTCAAACATGTTTGGTACTAAGACTTTTGTGAGTTAAATACTGTAAGTTAATAGTATCTCAAAGTGAACTGAATAGATAGCAACTTTGAAAAAAGCCAAAAACCAAACCACGTGAGGGATTTTCGAAACCCTGTTGAGCTATGTACACTGTATATCTGCTTTTGAGATTTTTAAGCTCTTTTAAATAGAGTTGCCTAAGCCAAAGGTTATCCTTGGGCTGTTCCTCAGATTCCACTCTTGCCCATTCACCCCAGTGGGATACTAAGCTCTTCCAACCTGTGTGTCTGTTGTAGTTTAACCTCAGTAGACAGCTCAGCCCCACGCAATCACTCACTCACTTTCCCCAGTGGGACGTGGGAGAGAAACAGAAGGATAAAAGCAAGAAAACCCACGAGCTGCAATAAAGATAAATAAAGGTTTAATAGGTAAAGCGAAAGCTAAAGGCAAGCAAAGCACAATGAGAAATTCATTCGCTGCTTCCCGTTGGTGGGCAGGTGTTTAGCCATCCCCAGGACAGCAGGGCTCCATCACGCTTCATCCTGTTGATTTGGGAGGAGACAACACACCATCACTCCAAATGTACCCTCTCTTCTCCTTCTTCCCCCAGCTTTTACTGCTGAGCATGACATCATATGGGATGGGATATCCCTCTGGTCAGTTGTCCTGGCTGAGTTCCCTCCCAACTTCTCATGCACCCCCAGCCTGCTCCCTGGCAGGGCAGTATGAGGGGCAGAAAACACCTTAGTGCTATGCAAGCACTGCTCAGCCATAATGGAAACATCCTGTATTATCAACACTCTTTTCATCACAAATCCAGAATGTAGCACCATACAAGCTATTATGAAGAAAATTCTACCCAAGCCAAAACCAGTACAATTTTTTAAAAGGTGCATCCAACTTAGTACAATTGTGCTAATAAGGTAACAAATCAGGCTTTTTATTAGAACTTTCTTTTACTAGACAGAACACAGCCATGAAAAATATATTAAAAAAAAAAAAAAGAAAAATTGAGAACCCAGTCTTCAGTTTGTCAAGACTGTTTAGTGTAATTACCAAGGTGAAAATAGCCTTATAATGGAATCTCTGATAGACCTGTTACTAGGAGCTAATTGCAGCCTACAGCTGCTTGAGAGTGGGGAGCTCAAGAGGACAGTAGAGTCAAACTCTTTTCAGCAGTGAAAGATGCTAAAACACAGGGTAATGACCACAAGTTGTAGCCAGGTTTAGACTGAGAATTTAGAAAAGTATTTCATTCAATGGGAAGTACAGCACTGGAGCAGACTGGCCAGAGATGTGGAATCTCCACCCTGTTCCTTAAGGCAGCAGCTGACCTGATCTGGCATTGTCAGTAGACCCACTCTGAGCAGGAGATTGGCCTAAACGACTTTCAAAAGCTTCCCTTCAACCAACACGTCAAAGATTGTATGTTAACTGTAGGAAAGGACTGTTTGTGGCCTCTCCAAATCCCCAGCCTTTCTTGATGTTTTGTTTTTGTTGGAGAAAAGCTTATGCTGAGTTCTGTTTTGCACGTTACTTGTTGTCCAGGAAGAATTTGAAGAATAGTGTCCTCCTTTTCCATAGCCCACCTTCAATCCATTTTAGCATTATTAGTGTTAATGTCAAAGATTAATTTATTTGTGGCAGATTTATAGGCAATTATTCTTATGACACCAACACCACAGTACATAAACCAATTGTTTGTGTCTTTGCCTTCCCCAGATTAATTTTTTTTTTCTCAGCTAGGGGTAGGAGGAAACATGGGTATTAATTCAGTTAAGGTCTTACCAGAATATGGCACAGTAGGATAAATAAAGACAGGTTTATGCTAGGTATATTAGATGTACTGCTTCTATGCTTCCTCAAGTTGTTTTACTAAAGAAAGGATATGCCATTATCTATGTTTACTAAACTATTTAAAATTTCATTTTCTATTTATTTTCATGTCGTTTTAATTACTTTTGCCTCAGAGTTTTTTCTGAAGTCTTGGATATTGTTAGCTAGGTACAGATCAAAGAGTCTCTACTTATTCTGTTTATCTATTCACTGTTCTCCAGTCATGAAGTCTGACTTCCACTTGTACAGTTATATCAGGATTCTTGCTACTGAACTTGAGATTTGGAGGTACCATACAATATTTTTACGGTATGGACGTTGTCTGGTTTCTTGACTTGAAGTTACTGAGCTCTTTGAACTTTTCTTTCACCCCAGATACATTCTTATTCTCTCTTTGTACACAAACAGTAGAGACTGTTTTTCTGCAAAGCCGTAAGCTTTACATCAGCTGTACACCCTGGACGTTCTTGAATTGGATATCTCCTTTGGATGACTTTCAGCGGTATGCTCTGTGAAGTAAATTAGACACTCTCTTAACTTTGGAATATATCTAGTGACCTTTTTTCTATAAAACTGCACCACGTTTCCCCTTATACTTGTTCGTGCTTTTCTCTGAGTTAAGCACCTCACCAGTGTTCTGAGCCGGTGTTAATCACATATTAATGAAGCCTGAATTCCCAGGAGTAATCATCTTAAAAGAGAGGGAAACACATGGTTTGTGGGAGGGCATTCTGCTTGCCAGATTTCATCAGTTCAGAAGTCAGTGCTGAACTTTCCTCCAGTTTTTTGGAAGAGATGATTTAAACTTTTTGTTAATCTTTCCACATTTTTTTGGTTTTTTCTCTATGAGTGAATGCCATTCTAGCAGTGTCTCACTCAAGTGAGATGAAATTTTGTGTTACAAGGTTTTATCTGAGCAAAGTAATCTATAACATCTCTGAACCTTATGTAGAGGGAAGTAGAGGCATCTATTTTCAGACCTATTCCAGAATTAGCCTGGCTATAATTAGGCTTTTTATCAAATAGCTTAGGGAATTTTTGCTTGTGCTCACCTCTCCAGGGCTTTTTCAGCCACTGCCACTTTCTTGGTTAGCGTTCCTGATATCTGAGATGTACATCCAGGCTACCAGGAGTTTGGCTTCTGGTCTCTTACTGCTTCTAGTTCCCAAATGATATTCCAGGTTTGTTAGAGCTGTCACACAGTTGGCATAGGATAGGATGCTTCTTCACATTAAGATGGTTGCTTCTTCATCACAGAGATTCATTTCACATCAATTTAACCAATTGAAAACTAATCTCTATGCTGCATCTCTAGTCAAGAGAAAAATAGGCAGTTCCAGAGAATAAACCGTGCCATCTATTGAAGATGCCTGTATTAATGAAGGGATGATTCATTCTCCAGAGCTGCCTATTTCTTTTCATTAGCTGGAGGAGGAACCTAGACACCTAGCTTGAACTAGATACTTGATTTCCATAGCTGACCTTGGGTGAAATGAACTGTGATTTAAAAGAGTCGTTTATGTGTCCTGCTCGTGCAAATTCCACAGCTCTTCTTCGCCTCTCACCCTGAGTCCCCATGGCTTGGTTCTTATTAGTGAATCAATCCAGCTATCTTATAGGTGGGATTAATTTGGGTGTCGGGACAGCACTAAGGTGCATAGTCTACATGTGTGTAGACAAATACTCGTATTCATCTCTGCATTTTCATACAGAATGTATTAAAGTAAGGTTTATTGAAGTACTTGCATTCAACATCTGCATGTGCTTTTGTTTAACAGAAAGGTATGCAAAAATATTACTGATGTTTCAAACTCTTATTAATAATTTATTTTATAGGCTGGTGTTTCTTTCTTTAAAAATAAGGGCTTATAATGTTTATATTCTGGAATCAGCAGACAAATGGATGAATTAACACAGCTCACATCTGTGAAATCCTGGGTGATGCTCACCAATCAGTGTTACTACATTAAAACTGAAAAAAAAGCAACCACAAACCAACCCCAAAAACAGTGAAAGAGCCTTGCTGAAGGAGCTTGTATTATTTTTAGTGCTTTTGCATGGTGTACCTTTAAACATTTTCTCAGTCTGATCACCATATGGCTCCCAAACTCCTTATTTTTCCCTTTAAAAGTATTTTAAACTGAGCTATGCTATTACATCTGTGTATGTCTCATTTAGGGTAACTTACACTTTTGGCTAGCAACACTGAAAATATTTTCCAGCTCTCAAGGTCCAGTCTAACCTTCTTCCATTTTTAAAGCTCTAAATGAGGAGCTGCACTGCACATGTAACTGAAAGTACTGGAGCTGAACATCTCATAAGGAGAAATTCTTGCCAGATTATGTATACCTCATGGTTTAAGCAGGGCTGGCAGCAACACAAGAGAAGCTGTTTTTTCAGAAAATCAGCTCTTCAGGTTTTCAAAAAGAAATACACTTGTGTTTGATGATTTCTTTTTAAGTATCCTAAATTGAGAGTGAAGGGGAATTTAAAGACCCCCCCTTTTTTCTTTGTGTACGATAGGTACAGCAGAAACACGTAGGTTCAAATACAGGTCTGCCCATTCACGTTGAATTTGCCATCAAGGAGTCACTGACAGTGAGCTAACTTGGGTTAAATAATTTCCCCGTAAATTCAAACTTGATTTTCTGCTGCTAATTCCAGTTAATTCCAAATTACATGTTATCTTTAAAGGGGCATCTTTCAAATCAGATAATCTGTGCTGGGACTTTATTTTGTGCCCACACGTTGGTGGTGATAACCGCATAAAGCATGAAGTGACCATTCCATTTGGAGAAGAGCTTTATGGTTACTTCCAGATGCCAGCTGGGTCAATACTGTCATCCTCAATCGCACATAAGTTTTTTTCTGGAGTCTGTCTGAAAATAAGGTGAAGTACCTGTTTTCAGAGATCAGCGTTAGGGCCTGCAGTAGCTGGGCGATCGCGGTGGAAGGCTGTCAGTCTTGCTCGCCTTCTGGATTCGGTGGCATTTAATGGCGTTGACCTCTAGGTAAAAGGCATAAAGCCTTTCCTTTCAGAGCTTCTCCCCTGATTAATTAGGAGAGCCTCTGTTTTATATGGACAGTATAGTGGAAATGTCCTGTATTTATATTTGGCTCTAGCATCCTAATGCTGCTTTTTTTAATTTTTTTTTTCTGAATATATCCATCATTATTCTTTTAAACAGATGTAACTTTCCAGGTGTTAATAATAAACTTCAAATTAATAGCTCTTGCTGCAAGGTCAAAACTTAATATTGTGATATAGACTAGAGGAGTTAATGCTTTGTTTAATATTCCTAAAAGTATGGAATTCGTTTTACACAGAAGTCTAATCAGGAGTTCTTAAAGTGAGATTAGCTGCAGCTATATCTTTATCTTTTTGACTCAGACTCGAAACTGTAATACAAACAATTGCTTGCTGATATAATTGCATTATAAATAACACATAAGAGTAAGGCTGGCAAATTGTAGAATTACTTTGCTTATGGATAGAGTGTCATACTAATAAATTTAAGATGTAAAATAAAATGCACAAACATAGCACATCAGTTTTGCTGTGGAGTGCTGGCTACTGTTAAAGTTTCAGCTGAAGAGAATATTGTGTGGTGAGTTTTAATTTTTCTCTATTTGCAATAAATGGGGCTTGCATATAGTGAATATAAATTAATCTTCCATTTTTGTCTTGTTTTGTATTTCCATCTTAGAGGAAGAGGGAAAGGGAAAACAGTTTATTTACAGTTAGTGAAATTGCTAACTGTAGTAAAATGTCACCCCCATTATTTATTTGTACATATTTCAACTTCATATCCATGAAACACTTAAAAATTGAAGCTGTGATAAATATCATGTTCATGTTTAAACTAAACAAATACAGAAATCTAGCTGTAGAAGCAATTTAATTATTTAAGGAACTTTATAAAGTACTTGTGTACTTCGCTTCAAGCACAACACTTCCCTGATATCACGAAATTCTAACCACTGTCTTGTACTCAGAGTAATACTCTTCATTCACTAATAAAAAATATGGAGATTTTCAGAAAATTGACTTAGCTGCCAGTGTCCTAAACATTTCGGTTGATTAACAAAGAGCTATCACAGTTAACTAACTACGTTGACATGGCAAAGTAATTGTGTGCAGATAAAAAGCTGTTGGCCAGGAGGTGCTTTTTTTTTTTTTGGTGGTGTTTTTTAAAAATACTGGATCAAATAATCTTTTTGGGGGTGATTATACAGTACAACTTCTCTAGCTAAAATCCCCCTTGTTATTCTGTGGATTCTGCCTTCCAGAGCAGAGCCAGCATTTCCCCCTCTCCCCTTCCCATCTGCCTGGAAGGACTGAGAGCAGAGCTTCGGCAGTGGCTCCAGCCTCCGCTTCCCTTCCCTGCTCACTTGTCCCTGCAGCTGCTGCTGCTTCCCCGTCACCTTGTGCCTCTTCTCAGCTCACCCTCACAGTTCTGGTTACAAAGGCTTTTTTCTCATCTAGACAGCTGTTGACTGGAAATTTAACTACATGATGTCATTTTACCTAAATGCCTCTCTCCTGTGTTTGTGTAATGTATGAAAACAGTCATGACTAACGCAGGAAATGTTCCCCTCCTCTGCATTTCTGTCCCTCGGGTATCCCAGGTGAGCCCTGACACGCTGGCGCATTTCGCAAATCCACGTTTATATATTGATAAAGTTGTAAAGCAAAATTATGATTAGTGGGTACACAGGCAGTTCTCAGCCTAAAGTGTAACTACTACGAATACGGATAAACTTTTTGTACCCACAGTATGTACTGTGGCCTGTGTTAATGCAGGAAAAGTGATTTATCAATTCTTAGTAACAGTTTAGTGCAGTTTTAGCAGCAGACTCAAGTAAGGTGTGCTGCAGTTACCATTTAGTCGAAAAGTAAACTTCTTGTTTCATTTGTCCAAACCACGTGAGTCAATTCTGAATGGCAAAGCCATCATATTTTAATAGGATGGTAATAGAGCAACATCTTTTGTAATTTGTTTCATGAGCAAGTATTATTTCTGGCATACTCACATATTGATTGCCACAATGGCAGCTTTTTGCACTTTTACATAGCAAATTTTTTTTTTAGTGAAGTGAATTAAAATAATTAAAATTTTAACCCAAGATTAACCAAATAATTTTTTTTTTTTTTTTTTTTTTTTAAAGGGAGCTACTATTAAAAGGGATGAACATACTGGTGCAATTGTGGTGGCCAGGATAATGCGTGGAGGAGCTGCAGATAGAAGTGGTAAGGTGTTGCTGTTTCCCACTACCCGTTCCAGTTCTGTAACTCAGAAAAAGATGAGATAAAATGGGAGCATCTTGTACACATGAAATACATCACTATCACAAACAAAAATATCTGCGGTTTGGTCAGCTTTCCAAAGTGATGTTTCAATACTGGTGAAAGTATTCATGCTGAGCTTTTTTCCCCAATTCACTTGCAACTGGGTATCTTTGAGATGTATCATCTTTTTTTAAGATGTATCATGATTCACTTCCAGTTGAAGACATCCACTTAGAAATGATATGATATGTCAAGATTACAACCTGCTGGAGGAACTCGGAGTGGCTGCAGTATTATATGATATGCCAAGATTACAACTTGCTGGAGGAACTCGGAGTGGCTGCAGTATTTTATGTTAGTACATGTGGAGTTTCAGCTGGTAACTCTCAAAACACCAGCACGTCCTTGACTGCCATTGTGTAGTTTGGGATGGCCAAGGTCTGCAAGAGCTCAAGCAAGAGCTCAAGCCCTAAAGGGCTTCTTTTCATTGAAGAGAATCTAGGGCAGCTGTGTTTCACACTTAGATGGGGTAATGGAGTATGTCTAGATACATGTTGTTAAATTAGGAAGCATTTGTGCCACAAATTAGCGCTCACAGCCCAAGCCATCTTTCCAGTACTTGCAGCTGTGTAGCAATGAGAAGGTAGTATGAGTAGAAACAGAATTGGCACAGACATTTTTCAAACATCTGCATAAAAGTCTGGAAAAGTCGTAGAGAAATGGGACTCATTTTCAGGAGGAAGGAAGGGAGGTGAGCACACCAACCATCTCAAACTTGCCTGTGAGGACACTAACTGTTGTTGTGTTCACCATATATTCCTGCTTGTAAGAACTTCAAGTGGATAAACAAGGGAGAAGAAAGCTGAACGTTAATGGAATTTTTTGTAAAATGTGTAGCTACCTTTTAACAACTCTTTGCCTTCTGTAGGTCTTATTCACGTTGGCGATGAACTGAGGGAAGTCAATGGGATTCCCGTAGATGATAAAAAACCTGAAGAAATAATACACATTTTGGTAAATACCAAACATTCTAAAATTAATTAAGGGGAGTCAAGAAAAAGTAATTAAATATATGATCTCTGGTGTATTTTTTAGAAAAAAGTATATATTGTACAATAATGCTTTTTCTTCCAATGGCATCGTTTACAAACCTCTATTTCTTTTCCCTTAAAGAATTATTTTTCCTCGCATTACATATGTATGCAATTACAGATTACTTGTAAAGAGTTAATGATGGTAATACAGCTGAAAATATGTTGCAGACCTCACCATATAACCTGCAGTTTTTAAGGCACATCATGATCTGTTAAATTCAAACTATTTTAAATGTATTCATTGCTTATGGGTTAACTCCATGTGAAAATTAATTCATAATACATGTACTTGATAGAATAAACTAACTGGTATATTAAGATTATATTTTATATTGATTTGCAGTGTATAGCCATATATTTGTTTGTCTGTACTCCTCTGAGCTGCACAATCTCTAAAGCCAGCCTAATTACTCACCTATGGAGAGCTATTGCAAATTAAGTAATTTAGACTTTTTCAGCAATGTTTAATATTTTTTTTCCAGCAAAGAAACCAATGAGTGTCACGACAGGTATTTGTGTTCATGGTGTTGGCATTTCTATATACCTAAATACCTTGCTGTCCTGCTGAATTGAGTGGCTGTCTCTCAGATTTGGTCCAATAACTGAGATGATTCATTTCAAATGTCTAGCCTGCTGATATTCATACTTGCTTTATGGTTTTGTGTTCCCTACAGAAACATATTTTCCTGCAGAAATTAATATTAAAAAAATCTCTAGAAGCACAATAGCACTAGAAAAGGTGTGAACAATTTCCCCATTTACCTCCTCGAGGTACAATATAAACATCAAAAGCTAGTTAGAGCTTGTTTCAAAAGTAACAGAAATATTGATTCCAGTCCTACGGCTGGTGAAATAAGAACTTGGCTGCTGCTTGTCAAACAGTGAGCTCCTGGATCGCAGACACGCCGGCAGAAGTATGTCTCGCTTGGTAGTGGACAGGCCTGTTTCCATTTTGCTGCAATCGTTGGCTGTCTGTTGCACTCTGCTAGTTTTATGAAACTTGTCGGCTGCATGCAATAGTAGCAGAGGCTCCAGCTGATTAGCACTTCCTTCAATAGCAAAATGTCACTGAGGCAGTGGGAATATATTGTGGTTAATACGTAAAATGCAGCCAGACACACTTTAAGTGGGATATAGGGAAAGATGAATGGATGAGGTGGTTGATGATGGCTAACTTGTTTTAAGATTTATAGTAGAGGGCTTTTTTTCCGTTTAGTACACGTAGGCTATTCAAAAATGTTTTTCTTTTCTAGTTTCTTAAAGTTGCCAAAAAAATAAATCCCCTCAATAGTTTTATGTGATAAATATGGCACAAGCCTGTTTGAATTTTTCTATCAGGTTTTTTTTTTTTGAAAAATGAAATGTTAGTTGGATTTTTCCAGGGGTTTCCAAACTGTGCCAGCAGGCTAGCAGTTGATTCTAATATGCACACATTTTAGCTGTAGCATTTGCTCCTGCCTTCAGTGCAGAAGTGGGACCTCTGAAACATGTAGGTCCCAGTTTTTAACAGCCCATCTCTTCCCACCAGTGAAGCAAATGAAAATGTTTTAAGTGGGTATTTTAAACTTTGCAATGCACAGTTTGGTAGGGTGAAGTTGTCAAACTATGGATCATGCTCAGGAGAGGATAGATTCATTACATTTGAGTATTTTAAAATTAAATTGAATTTTTTTCCTTTTAAGATTTCTTTGAAATGTACAGCTTGATTCTCAGTGCGTTTTCTTTTCAAATGTTCACCAGGCTCAGTCTCAAGGAGCAATTACATTTAAAATTATACCTAGTGTGAAGGAAGAAATGCCAATGAAGGAAGGCAAGGTAGGCAAGACTATTTCAGAAGCTATTGTACTCATTGTTATGCTGAGGATATATATTGCTTGCTTGGATGACAGAACCTAAGAATGTGATTTATGCCTGTGGACTCAGTTTTTCTAATGTGACAATGTGTAGTCACTTCAGTACTCACACGCTGGATTTACAAGTGGGTGTAACAGAGTTCTTAAGCCCTAACTCTACAGCCCTGAAGTTGACATAAGTAATCTTCAGTCTTCTGCGAGGACCAGGCTTGCTTCCAAGTACTCCTTTTTTTCCATCGTACACTGGGTGAAAGATACTTGATAAGACCTTGGTTCAAAAGTATCTTCTCTTCTGTTCCCCATATGGGCACGCTGTTCACCTGCAAGTCTGTTTGCCTTGGATCATAGAGCCTTTACTACATTGGGATTGTGGTTGCAGAAGCAATGGATTTAACATTCCCATATGAACTTTTAATGTTAGACATCAGTAAGGATGTTTTACTGCAGTAAATGTTTATTGCTTTACATTATTTAGTTCAATGGTTTTGAACAGTAAAAGCAAAAAAGGGAGATTTCTTTGGATTACATTTAATATTTTGATTCTAAAGATAAACCATGCTCTGTTTCAGATGTTTATCAGAGCCCTATTTGACTATGATCCTAACGAGGATAAAGCAATTCCTTGTAAAGAAGCTGGACTTGCTTTCAGAAAAGGAGATGTCCTTCAGATCATGAGCCAGGATGATGCAACCTGGTGGCAGGCCAAACACGAGGGTGATGCCAATCCCAGAGCAGGCTTGATCCCTTCAAAGCATTTCCAGGAGAGGTGAGCTACTGAGAAGTATAGTTTCATTCTTTTTTGTAGTTAGAGAAGATATGTATTTGCTAAGTTGTTAAGTTAGCATAGTTGTCATACGTAATGCTCATAGATGACATGGCTATGATAAACCTGCGTTTGCAGCAACACAACTGAACTTGGAAACCTGTTGCTGAAATACTTTGGATTTCCTTGTCTGGCTAGAATTAATAATGACAAAAACTGATAGGATAACACTCATCCAGATTGAAAGAAAAAACATATGGAAAATAGCACATCAGTATCTGTATTCGCACTGATGTACTATGCAGGAATAAGAACTGCAGCAGGTTTTGGAGAGGTTACAAAAATTTGGGGCTAAGGATTTAATTTTTTAGGTTGTGAATAGATTTCATTGTATTAAGTTATTTTCTTGTCAAATCTTCTGGATATTTTGCAATAATCTCTTGATGTTAAGTGTTTGTTTTACCAAACTTGCAGTGAACACTGAGGAGTTTGTTTCTTTCCCCCACCACCTTCATTTTACAGGAGATTTGCATTAAGAAGACCAGAAGTGCAGATTCAACCACTGAAAATTTCCAACAGAAAATCATGTAAGTTTGCTAACCTGGAATAGAAATCATACTCCTGTTCTCTAACCTTATAAAATAGCAGTTTCTTTCAGCCCTGTGACTACAGGATGCATTTCTCCTGGGCATAATAGCTTCTTGATCACATTGTTTTGGTAGGAAAATAAATATAAGAGCTGAAATTAAAAACTTTAGAAACAGCTAACAATTTTTGCCGACCCTCTGACTTTTTATTTGAAGCACCAAACCCAATTAATGTTTTGATATATATAATATTTCAAAGGTTGAAATCTGTACTATTTCCTGTTGAAATAGTACAGAATTGGCTCAACAGTTTATATAATTTGGACTGCATCAATACAGTGAAATTTATATTGAGAGTGAGATAAAAGGTCTGATAGTCTCCCCTTCTCACCCCCATATAGTTGGTAGGTTTTTTGTGTCCTGTGAAGCAGCACAAGTCTTTAAAAGTCAGGACATTCAGGACATTCAATTCTTTGACAGGGTTTCACACAAACACTTTTTACTGTTTTTTAAACAAATTAATTTTTAATAGCCCCTTCTTTTAAATACAGTAGTTGCACAATATGAGAAAAATAAGTCCTAAGAAAGCGTATACATCGAAACAAATATTTTCTTTCCACTGGAATTTACATCAACATCTGGTTTAAGTATTATTGCATATTTTACTTGACCTGTTATTTCTTTCAGTTGTACAGACTCATAACAAAGTGAGTACAATGTAAGAAACTGTCATGCTTCAGTAGGATCTAAATCTTAAACATAAACATGTTTGTGAGTTCAACTACAAATATTCTGAAAATGGTCTAAAATTTCCATCCATCTCTCATTCTCTAACATTTAAAGAAAAAGTATGGGTACTATGGCGAACAGTGGATGCTGGCACACTAAGTGCAGAACTAAATGCTTTTAGCTTTAAAACTTCTCACCAAGGTTCCTGTTGCAATTTTCTTAACTCCTTGCTATGGCTGTTGTGTTCTGAAGTTTGACAATTACTGATAGTTTTCTAATAATCTGCATTTTCTATCTTTCACTCCATTTCACTATTTGATTGTGTACCCTGATGCTATTGTTAACTCCAAAGCCCTTGATTAGCTTTGTAATTACAATAACAGAGGATATGATTGCACTATAGCTTTTCTATTTTACATAGGTCTTAGAAACAAAGTGGAGCTCCTCCAGCTTGTAGTAAATCTTTTGTTTTTCTAGGTTCTAGGTCAAGTTGCTCTGCCCCAGTTTTGGAAAAGTGTCTGGTCCCAGGGTATAGCTATTTCTCTCTGTCCACTGTTCTTGAATCTGGATAATACCCTCAACAAGAGCCTTCAATTAATGTGGCACTGGTGCTTTTGAAGAGGTAAATCAGCTGCTGCAACAAAACTGCATGATTCCTTTTGTAATGAACTGCATCTTTTAGCTGACCTTCAAGTGAAAGGTTTTACAAGATGCATCTCACCCTTCCTAATAGGCAGCCTGAACTTGATTGGGAATTGCCAAAAGTACAAGTCAAAGAAGACCCACATTATGAGGTCTACTGTTGTTGTCTCTGATGTCTCCACTGACTTTGCCTTAACTAGGCCTTAAACAAAGGAGAACAAGTTCCTCACTTCCTCCCCTTTTCTTTACAAAGTGACAGAGCCTTAAGGTCAAGCCGTATGCCTGTTATTGTTCTCTTTCAGAATTTCTTTAAACTGAGCAAGGTCCAGCTAAATACTATCTAGAAGGTAGTGGTGCCCCAGGAAGCAGGAAAGACTGCAGAGTAATGCAGGATTGTCATTTTCTCTCTTCCTCATTTCTTAGGACAATAAGAATTGGCTACGTCTGCCAGATTTCCAGGGGAAGAGGGGAAGTGCTATTCTGAGTCCATCCCTTTAAATAAAGGTCCATCCTTTATTCAAAGACTGAACATGTTTTTAGTGCTGGGAGGGAATTCAGATCCTTCATAGAGGAGGCATTATAAGGACCAGAATTCACCTGTAGAAAAGATCTTGTGACTAGGATGTTGCTGCAGTTGTTCACTGGAAAACCTTCCACTTGCTTGGCTTTTCAAGAAGATTCCACGTAAGCTGGGAAACTCTGCGCCCTTGTGATCTTTCTAAAGTTAGGCAGCTTTTTCATGTTACCAAGCAGAGCAGTGAAGCTGTGAGATGTGGAGGCCGTGTCTGTATTCATGCAGAGCAATCACCTTGCCAAACTAGGGAGATGCTGGAAAATCATGCATGGCTCAGCTGAAGGAGCAGCGTACTGCCAGTGTCAGAAACGAGTAGGGGAGGTGACAGAGAGGACAGAACACTGGAAAGAACTGCTAAGTTTGACATCTTGTTTTTAGGCCTTTTCTGTATTGTGGGGTATGGCCCACTGATTACTGTCCTCTAAAGTTTTATTTAAGAAGTTCACAGGTAAAGAGGTGGGAAATAGGTAATGCTTGATTTCATCCGATTCTTTTTTAGTCCTGTACTGTAGCCCTTCAGCTTGATACAGGTTTCTCCAATGTTTGGAAGGGTAATTGTGTGGGGAAACATGTTCTGTAGGTCTTCCTGAACTAGCTGAGAGGTTGCTTGCTATTGCAGTGGATCTCATCAGTCGTACGACCTGAATTTCCTTAGCAGTTTGGAGGGAAAGGGCAGTTTGCCAGCTGATATTCTGATGGGTTCCCAAAGACAAAAACCTGTTGACTTCAACAGAGCTGCTACTAAAAGTCCCTTTCCTGACAGGACTGGGAATTGCACTAGGGAGCTTTCTCGAGACATGGTAAGTAGCACTAGATGTTGGCCTGCTCTGTTCTGTCAACTTATGCCACAGGTCCCATGTTTTGTAAGGAGGAAGAAGCCTTTGCTTTTAATAGGGAGGATCAAGGAGAAGTATTCTATTTTCATGGGTACCAAGGAAATTTGAGACAGCTCTAGTTTCTTAGTTGGGCTTCCACAGTAGTAGTGTCATTCTACTTGAAAATTAATCTAAAATTAATCAAAATTGCATAACATACAAGAAGTATGCTATAACTTCTTTTTTTCCTCTTTTCTCAAGCCAAGTTCTGGAACTGGGAAAGACTGTTGTATTTATCTAGAAAAAGAGCTGTCTGAAACATAGTCAGTAACTGCATTCACAGTAACACTAATGTCCATCAGGATTTGCTTTGATAATTCAGTATATTTCAAAACCTGCAAGGAGCTATACTGAATTACTTTTGGGAAGCCTTCTTTCTATTTACAATTCTGAATTTTTTATACTTTTCAGCATAGCACTGCATGCCGTGTAAAGCTGTTAATCTGTACACATAGTTTTGTGTCATAAATTTGGAAGCAAAAACAGTGGGCTTTTTTGGTGATGCTGACCATGCTTGTTATGTATGCAGATGTCAAGGAAAGGGAGTAGTGGATATTTTCCAAGGAACTTTTTCAGAAAGAATTATTTGCGCGGAAAACAACAGAAACCCAACCCAATTCTAAACTATTAAAAGGATTGGTTTATAATGAAAATGCCAATTCATATTTCACTTTTATAGCCAGTCAGCTTGTTTCATTGTGTCTATGTGTAAAGTGAATATAAGTAAAAGCAACTACTTCAGCTTTGTGGAAGATACATGCATACGCCTCTCCCAGCATTTAGCTATTTTCTTGGAAGAGATAAGAGAATCTTTCTCGCATTGCACTAGTCAAAAGTGAAAAACCTTTAACATGTGTACACTGGAGGAGGGGACAAAACAATGTACATTCCATATTGAAAGGTAAGTGAAATCACACTTCCTCACTTGAAAATGGAGAGGGTGCATAGTTTGATGGTGTCTGGGAGAAAGGTGGCAGGAAATCGATAATATAGATGGACCCTACACTGACAAAAGATGACTTTACATTGAGAGGAATACTCAGAAAAAGGAGGAATAAAGAAATAAAGGAAAAAGCGGGGAAGTAAAATTTCCTATTGAGTGTGAAGAAAAAGAGAAAGTATTGCAACAAGGGCAATGGAAGAACAGGTGGACAAAAGCTGCCCGTGAACCCTGTTAGGCAAAACCCCACAGAGGATGGGCTTTGAAAATATTAAATTAGGGTAATTAACAGTATTATGCAAGAGCATTACTGCAGTCAGTATCTGCACTATAGTTCAGTTTTTTCTTGATTCCATTTAAAGCAAACACTAACATGTTTTTTTTGTTAAAGATTTTGAAATGGTGAATGTGAAAATTACTAGTATAAACTCTGACAACTTTTTGGTTTTGATTATTAGTAGAAAACCTCAGTAACTTCAGCATTAATATTTGTTAAATTTTAAAAGCATGAGATAAATGGCAGTTAGATGTGCTGACCTGCTGACAAGATTGATAGTGTTACTTCCTAGGCTCTGAGTTAGTGCAGAAATGAGGGAGGGATACCAAACCTCTCAAACATTTTCAGCATTTTTCTCCACACTTAACAGCAATGACTTTTCAGCAAAAAGCAGTATTGCTTGTGCATTAATACTATGGGAAAGTAATACTGGGGAACAAATGATGAGAACAAGCAGCACAGGAAAGAAAATAGGAAAATGGAATGAAAGTGGAGGCAGAGAGGTGCATGAGATGGTGTGAGTAGGATTAACCCTCCGTGTGCTGGGAGGGTGCCCGTGCAGTGTTCCTGCCATGGGGTGTGAGGGGGGAGGTAAGGTCCGTGTGCCTGGCTGCATGCAATCGGCTTTGCTGTGTCTGGGCCTGTGAGCCGTGGCTGATGCCAGCTCTGCAGAAACCTGCTTACCTGGGATAATAATTAACAGCTTTCCTGCCTTTAGGAGGTCATCTTAGCTCGGGCACAACTTTGTGGCCAGAGCTACAGAACTCTGTGAGTTCTTCTGTCACTGCATCCCGGCTACAGGACTGCATCTAGACTCAGAACAGGGAAGAATTTATTTGTTTTATAGTTCCCGGTCTGTTAACTTGAATACAAAGACTACTCGTGCTCTGACTGTAATAGTCACTGCCAATAAACGTAGTCGTTCTTGCATTTGTAGCTTACTTTAATTTGTAGATAAAACACTGATTACCTCTTTTTTTGAGAAAAAAAAAAAAGTAAATTTCTTCAAATAACAACCACATAACTTACTGTTCTGCAGTTATTGTAAGCTACAACAATCTGCCAAGACATTATATTCCTTCAGCATAATTTTGCTTTCACAGTGATTACTGTGTTTATTCTTATGTTATATATGTGTTGTTTCTGGTATGAAAATTACTTGTAATTTTATATTTTATACTAGCGTAGTCTGTAACTTCTGTTAACTTCTGCAGGGCATGCATATTTGTACGTGTATATCCATACCCTGCATGTATAGTTATATATAAATATATGTGTGTATGTAGCATATATGGCAGAGCTGTTTGGAGATGTCTTTTCCTTGAAGATACATTTGTTCTGTGTGTTTAATGCTATATGTAAATACTTAGTGTGGCAAAGCCATCATCATATAGTTTTTCTAGAGCTTAAAACCCATTTTACTTTCAATTTTGATTTACCATATGCGATTGGCATTGTATGAGCAAGAGGAAATATTTAACTGCAGCCAAATGGTGTTCATTCAAACAAGATGTAACCCAGTTTATCCATAGATGAGTGTCTTGTGAATTGAAGATTGTGTTCTGCCAACAAAAGAATTTAAACAGACTGAAAGAATGAATGCTTTGTACCACTTGTATTTGAAGACCAAAGATTTAGGATAAGTGTATAATAGGAGTCTTTTGCTTGTTATAATTGCTGCACAATCTTAACTCTGCCTTTCAGTATTTTTCTGTGTTCATATTTGACACTTGATTGCCCACCTGCAGGTAGTTATGAGTGAAAACAAAAAATAAACCAGACCTATAGAGTTAAATTAGCACATTAGTATCTTTGTTCAGAAGTCTTCTGTCCTTACAAATATTAACTTCTGCTACCACAGAGAAATTAAGGAAGCCTGAAGCTGGATGACATTTGAGTCAAGGTCACATGAGACAGAAGTGGAAACGGATCTCATAAACTCTTACTCTGTCCTTCACTGCAAGACTATCCTTCTTCATTTTCCAAATTGTCTTTGTAGAGATACTGTTATCTGATGATGTTGAGAGAGGATTAAGTTAGATCACTTTAAATTTCCTATAGCATGAACATATATGTATTGTTTGATCGACAAAACCCTATAGGATAAAAAACCCCGCAAAACAGTATAAATGTTGATTGCTATGTGGGGCTGTTCATCACTAAAGAATTAAAAGTATTTAATATTCTCTGTAACGCAGATTGTTATAGATCGCAGTTTCTTGCTTACCAGAGTGCAATAGAAGTTAAGGGATAATGTATCTTGCTTGTGATAAGAAACTAGAACAGAGCTGTTAGATCTAATTTTAGACTAAGAAACATTTACGTAAGATTCTTTGATGGAAATATTGTTGAAAGAAAGTCAGAGAAAGTAAAAAAATTTAATCTGGTGCTGGACTGTTGTAAAGAGTTGAGGAAGTTCCTGGAACAGCACTGATTTTGAGCTTCATAGGGGAGGCCCCCAAAATGAATTCAAAATATATTTACTTTAAAATACATACAAAAATACAGTGTATGTGGTACTGTTTTGCGTTGTTATAGTTTAGCATATTGGCTACGCTGAAATCTTTCTAAAATGAATAAAAGCACCTACTTCCTAAGCTTCCACTGCGCTTGTGTTTCCTGTTTCTTTTTCCCATTTCTGTCTTGGTACTGCTTCGTTGTTTGAGGAGCCTGTTCCATGACTACTTTTTTGTAATTTCTTTGCCCTTCTTATCACACAACATTGACTGTATTTCTTCTTTTCTCAGTGTTTTATTTGCTCCATGTCGCCTTATAGTTTTTTTCATTTTGTCACTTTTTTTTATTTTCCTGCTTCCCACCAGATTCCCTCCTCTTTACTCCCTGTCCTCTTTTAGTCTCTGTATTTGCTCCTTTCAGATAAACACTTCTGTTTTCTTTCTCACTCGGCTTGAATTTAGTAAAACTCTATTGGCCTGAGATCCACCCAAACTTTCCACGTCTCTAAACCTCCAAACTTCAGGCATGTACCCTCACGTACCTGCTGCGTGTGTACAGCTGCTTCAGATGCTCAGAGCTGTAGTAGTTAGCTGGGATCACAATGCAAAGTTTCCTGGCAAATAACCTCTGGCTTTAGGAAGGACAGGCAATAGCCCTGCTAACATTGCTGGTAAAGTTCAAATTGGGACCTGCATGGAGCATTGAAGACTTATTGATTTACCACACCGTTTCATTATAGACCGTTTTGTTCACCCTTAGGAGTAGCCCAAAGAAGCCAAGAGCGGTATTAAGGAGGAATATTTTTAACAAAACACAAAAAGTTCGAAACGCCTTCACTTTATCTCAGCATTAAACCTCAGCTTGCAGACGTTTTGGTTTGTGCTTTCTGGCATCAGCTGGCTCACTTGGGAATCTTAACGTCTTTAATTTATAGCATGGATGGATGAGACCGTTTCCTTTCCTAGCAGGGGTGGCCCAGAAGCCTGCCTTCCCTTCAGCTGTTCTCAGCCCTGCTGCTGTAGCTCCACCAGCCCATACTTAGAGGTCTCCTCCGAAGGCCTGCGGTGGTCAGGGTTGAGTGAGTGTATACCAGTGTGTACATACAGACCTCTTTTTCTCCTGGTCCAGTCTTTCGTGTCCATAGATGTGGACTTGTCCGTTTCCAATGATAAAATACCAAACAGAATACTCTAAAATGCACAGTCACTAATTAAGTCAAATAACTTTGTTGAGTTCAGAAGACTTGTTAGGTGTATTGACGTATTTCAGGAGATACATTTGCAGCCTATTGAAAGTCATGGAAATACAGAGAAACTTGTCGTACATATCTGGAAGTGTAAAAGGTCTCTCAGCACAGAGGAGAAAGAAATAGCACCTGGAAGGCAGCCTGCCATTCTGGGTCCAGCTTTAGAGTGTTTGTCCCTTCAAGAATTGGGAGCTTTTAAGGTCAGGAGAGAAAAAAGGATCCAACACTTTCACTCTCAACTCACAAAACTGTCGGCGCTTTTTTAAGGCACCAGATGTGGTCAACCAAGCAGTGCTGACCTTAGAGGACTTTCCAGTCTACTAAAACTGTATGGTCACCTCAAGTGCAGAAATGCAATTTAAATAGGATTCAGAGAAGTCTTCCAAATTAATATTTTAAAGCATAAGTCCCCAAGAAAAAAGGTATCAAGAAAAGAACTTTGTATCCATTTCATGGCACGAAATGGGAAAAGCTCTTCCATGTGATCAGATAGGCAGGAGAGTTTTGACCTCGCCTTTGTTTGGTACATCACTTATGCGTGAAAGATTGTAAAATATCTCTTGAATAATTTCTTCACATTCCAAGGAAAGACATGCTTCATGGAAACTCTTTAAAATATATTTATATTTTAGGCATCTTTATCCAGATTCCGAAGGAAATTTGAATGAGATGTAGGTTGTAAAATCTCTATATAAATCTAGACTGTAGTATGTAATACCTGTGAACAAGAATGCATTACATATATTTTGCTTTTCTGTAAAAGGCCAAAGATGATTGTAAAGCTTTCTGTTTTCCACTTTCAAGGAGGCAGAAATTTATTGACTTGGTATAGATAAGCAGAAAGTCTTAAGTAGATCTATTATATTAGGATGGTGTCAGAGAAAAAATGACAAGAGTATAGAAATTCTTTTCAGCTACAAGTATAGACATTCAAAAAAAATTCAAAAACCTCTCCAACACCCAGCTCTGAGGGCAGTAGCATCTGTTACTGTAAGTGCAGAAAAATACTGAGATTGCATTCATGGTAGTGATTCTTAGAAATTCTAGGTTAAGATTGATCAAATGGGATTAATAAACTCTGCATTAAGTATCAAAAAGATCTTCCATGACAACTGGGTAAGGTCATTGCTGCCAAATAAATAGCGGAAGAATCTCCTATAGGAAATTTAAAGTGCACATAATATTTCCATGTCTTTTTAGGTCCTTTTCTAACTGAGTGTAGTTAAAGATGTAAGTTAAACTCAGTGCTGGTATGTTGGTATATGCCTCGATATAATTGGTGCTATCAAGAGGATTTTAGAGTAGCTTACATAGCTAATTTTTTTCCTATTTATGAAGTATTAAACAATAATACTTTGTTTTTTTGGCTGTTCTAAGATGAGGAAGCGGTTGAGTGTGGTAGGTGCATTTTTCTTCTTCGATTTAACTTTTCTTTCTTAAGTTATGTTTTCACTCCATTTAATGATTTCCTTTCCTATTTTTCCTTTGTGCTTCTCAGAGGAAATTGAAGGTACATGTACAAAAGTTTCCCTGCATAGCCCAATAATTTATTTAGAGAACATGTGTTTAGAATTAAATTGAATATAGTCCAGCGTTTCTAAGAGATGTTGTACATATAATGCTTTTATATTACCACCAAATACATTTAATGATTTCTTAAAAGTAGATAAAAATTCCGGAATATTCCTAGTTGTTTCATGTAAAGACCAGTAATTTGAACTATTGTTTTAAACTGCTTTCTCTCTCTCTCTCTTGAACTTTTGGAAGATATGTAAAGAAAAGTAGTATCATAAAATAATATTAGCGAAACTTGGGTGGGCTGGGTTGGAAAGAGGTTGTTCCGGCTTAATTACATGGCCATGAGAAGTCTTGCATTTCTCATTAATACTGATGAAGTATTTGTCTGAGATGGTAGAAAGTTCATCTATGTAGTATCATCCTTACTGTTTTCCCTCTGAGTGTAGCCGGTTACTGTTATGCTTGCAGCATATGTTAAAGTAATAGCAGCTGATCTCTTGTAATTTCTTTTTTTTTTTACTTAAGAGGCCTTTGTTTATAAAGGCATTAGAAATTGTAGCTCATATTTTTGATCAAAGGGCCTCTGGCATGTAAAAATATACATTATAGCTATTTTATATCAAATGAGAGGATGTGTTTTTGATCAAAAACCTTTCTGTCTAATCCAGTGAGCCAAAACTTAAAGCTAAAGTCTGATAATGTATAATTTACAAAAAAAGCTTGATTTACATCAAATACGGTTTGCTTTCTTTTAAGTGGCATCATATTTTCTATTAACTGATAAAGTGTGAATAATACAACGTTAGAAGTCTTTTTAGAATGTTTGCTGTCATCACAATTTTTGCTTGAAAAGGTAAAAAGATCAGTGTGCATGCTGCAAAGTTCCAGAATATCTCAAGCTAAAATATAAAACAATAAATGTTGTTTTATGTTTTTAAGAAAATGGCTTATCGGAGGCTTTTTAATGCTATGCTTTGTACAGTTGTCATTTTTTAAGTAATTTCTTCTGTATTTTTTGCTGGGCTTCTAACTATTCTGCTTTATTTCTTGGCTCTTATTCTGTATGCTTTTACCCTTCGTCCAGAAGATGCTGAATGTGCTGGTCACAACAGTGGATCCTATTTAGGTGAGCAATTGGTTACAAAAGACAATTTCTTCCTTTCTTTCAGCTTCTTTTCCCTGGAACTACTGTGTCCACCTTGCTTTTGGGGGTAATCTGCATATAAATGTCCTTCCTCTGCATGAGAACAGCATGAATATTGAGGTTTTAAAAATGGCTCATTGGATTTGACATAAAGGGTTTATGTAGTATATGCATTTATCTGGTTAAACATAAGCTACTAAAATACTGGTTGATTTTTAAGTCAAAATATATATACACACACATAAATTTGGGAAAAAAAAAGTTGACTTTTAAAGTACATTAAGGAAGCAATGTGCCTAATGAAACAAAAAGGTTACTGTATCATGAAAAGTTTGAGTAAGTCTTTAAAGACACACTTTCAAGGTTTTATCTAAGTTTTGCTTAAACTTTCTTTGTACACATCTATCTAACAATTGTGGGAGGATTCAGTGAGAGTACGGAGCAAATTTGCAGGCACCAGTTCTTTTTCCACATTACAAAATAAGTCATAATAACTCAATAGCTTAAATTTAGCTTTAAAGCTAGTTTGAGCTCAATGTATCATTGCGGGGAGGGGGAAGAGGAGGGGAAGGAGTCCTTTGGATTTGGCTTCAAGATTCCAAATTTCAAACAAAAGTAACATTTAAAAAAGGTGAATGTTCCATGATATGTTTCAACTTTTTAATTTGTGCCATTTTAAAAGCTGTGTAAAAATATTTTAGTTGAAACTGTCCAGAATTCCTGCCAGCTGAAGGCTGGCTGGAGCAGATTTTGTGGCAACCAGCCCTTTTCCCAAGGCTTTCATCCTCCTACTACAAGAGGAATGGGAAGAAACTTGTCAAAGTGCTTTAGTACATCCAAGCCACAGGGCTCACTGAAACACCCTACACCACTACTGTAAATTAGAGATGGTTTTCATATTGCACTATACTGTTTTAAAATGTGGTATATAAACTACACCAGGAACACAAAAACTATATAATTGAAAAAACTTTGACCTCTTTCCAAAACCTTAGTGTGGTATAATTTCATCATGTGTTTGTGGAACTAGTGGTCATCTGATCATGCTGAAAATAAACTTCTTACCTTCATTAGTTAATCAACTAAATTAAGGTTGAATCGTAATTGTGTTGAGAGATTTGGATGTGATTCCAGACAAACTGCATTTTCCTTATCAAATCTCCTCTTTGAATCAGAAAATACCTTTTTTCCTGCTCCTACCCAATCCCCCATCTTTCTGTCTGTGAATACAGATTGCATGAATTCTCAAGATCAGACTGTCATGGTTTTGCAATCAGATCTTAGTGGGCTGATGCTTTATTTGAGAATGAAGGTGGCAAAACAGAATCTACCTTTTCTTGGTGCTGTAGCCCTTTCAGTGAAACGTTTTGCTCTGCAGTTGCCAAAAAGGTTTGATCCTCTAGGAGGGAGATGTCTTGTGGAAGAACCTACTGTTGTCCCAGATGCAAAGAGCAAAAAATCAAGATGGAATGTAGTTTACTTACGCAAAACTTTACAAAAATTATCAAAGTACAGGGCAAGCAATGGTTTATCTCTTGAGAGTTTCCATGCAGTGGAGTGCACCCATCGGTCCAGAGATGGTACCTTCAGCCTTCTCACGGTGGGTCTTTGCTGTTGGAAGTGAGGTGCTGGAGAGGAGGTTAGGTTGTCTAAGGTTAGGACCAGTTTGGGGGTAAGGACACAAGTATATCCACTGGTTGTAAGAGCCAGACGACAGAACAATAGGGAGAAAAAAAGACTTGTCTAAGGTTAGGACCAGTTTGTGGGTAAGGACACAAGTATATCCACTGGTTGTGAATAATTTGCTATTTGGTTTAGAAATTAGAGGTTCCTTGGAGCTCTTCACTAAGAGTCATTTATTAAAAATTATCTTCTCTTGAGATCAAGCAGGTAGGCTTTTGAAAGCTGATGTTACCATTCTTTTGCACATGGTAACAGGACACAGCGATTTGTAATTCAAACTGTCTTGTGAACTCCAGTGTCTCCTTCTTTCACAAAAATCCTTTGCAGACACATTTAGGGTGGCGATTTGTCTCGTGAACTCCAATGTCTTCTTGTTTCACAAAAATCCTTTGCAGACACATTTAGGGTTGCTTTCCTCCAAAATTATTTTTCAGTTGTATTTTCTCAAGGAACAAACTACTGCAGAATAACTTTCTGGGCTGGATGAATGCCGCTGCCTAACGTGTAATAATTTGAATAAAACTCGTTGTCCAGCTGCAGGTAGGACACCTATATGCTATACAAGATACAAAATGCAGATAATCTATAAGGTAAGGGAGTTTTAGGCAAAGACACTTGATGAACCCTCTGTTAGGTACAGGGAGCCAATACCATATTTAACTGCTGCAGTCCACCTGGGACCTCTTTCTTTTCCACTGGTCTGACTATATGTTCCTTCAGTGAAAGCCTTCAAAAATACTTTTATTCCCTGGCTGTTGTTTTTTTGAGAGTGGGAAAACAAATATGTCTGATTTTTGAAAACAGCTTATTCTGTGTTTTGCTGTATTATTTTTTGGAGTGAATCCTCAGTGTCTCAATTTTTCTGAATGTGCATATTCTTGAAAGATGACAGACATTTATGGCACCCCTTGATTACTAAGTAACTAAGAATTTCTAGGCAAGCCTCTTCATTATCGTAACACAAAGTCTTCATTAAACATGCTACATGGAAAGCAAGACCTAAGACGTTGTCACTGGCAGAGCTTGGGTCACACCACCAAGTTCAGGGGGTTTTAGGGACACCCAGTTAAATGCTTGTCTGTATGTTGTAACCTGTTACAAGAGCAAAGGAGTCTGAATTGGATTAACTGTTGATGAAGGAGTTGACCCATATTACCTTGGGTTTACAGCAGGTTGTATTCACACACACGAGCAGTTAACCTGAGGTAAGTTGAAGTACAATAAATAGTTCCTGTGTCTGAATTCTAGAAACATTTTTGAAAGTGCAGATACACCGGTTACTTCCTAAAACCAAACCGACTAAGTCATGTTTCATGCTGCTTTTGATAGTATGTACTCACATCAAGTGAACTACAATCCTAATATCAATTCATGACTTTTCAATCTATTTTATGGCTCTTTATGGGTTTAGGGCTCTGTATTTGTTGGCATTTCAGTCTGTGATCCAGGATATTCTGTGAGCGTCTGACCCCCTCTGAAAGGGTATGTGCTTCAGACGCACACAAGGTGGTCATGAAGAGCAACAGACGAGGCAGCTTTTGGAAAGCAGAGTGTCTGCACCATCTGGGGCCAGATCTTTTATGTCCAAGGTTATGCTGCTATTAATTTGAACCCTCCCTTCTAAAGTGACTCCGATAAATTTCATGATTTTTCACCAAATTCTAATATTTAAGTCACAGTATAGTATTGTACGTTCCTGCAGTAATTTCCTGAGGAATTGCTGGAGAGAACATTAGGAGTTTGCCTTTGCCAAGCTTAAATTCTAGTTACATTACTTGAACCTTTATGAACATACAGTAAATATAGATGAATATCATCTGTTTACTATTCTCAATTTTGTCTTAAAAATCCAGACATAATCTAAATTTTTATTAACCCTGTCTAAATGTGCAAGCTGGGAATCAGTCCAGAAGCAAGCAGAGTAAGAAGTCTGCTCTGTGTTTGTGCAGTTCCTGTGTAACAATAGAAATACTCGGCATATGAGCCAGTATAAAAAACCCCAATATTTGAGGGGAAAGAAAAATCCAGAAATATCTACTAAAAATATTGTATTCATACAAACCTAGATAATGACTGTGGTACCAGACTTGGTTTTGTTGGTAATATGAATACAAAAAGTACTTGCAAATGCATTTAGAAATAAACAGCATTTATTCACTATAAGATTTCTGTTCTGTAAGATTAGACTAAATTCAGCAAATATAGATAATTTAAACACATACTTAAGCACTTGTTTTAATCAATGAAAATGAACAAAAGCATGTGTAAGTGCTTTATAGTAATCTGGAGCCTTACTGGTGAATATATGAAGCGTAGGTGAATTTAAATTATAATATTTCCTGTTAGTGTAATTTCTCTGAATTTGAGAAATTAACTTTCTATTTTCATGAATATATTTGGATTTAAATTCACACCACATAGTTGCAATCTTTTGTTCCCTTCTTCTTTAGAATTATATAACTAAATCTAAATAAGTACAGCCTTTTACATCAGCATCCTTTTAAAATATTTTAGGAGAGACAGGTTGATGCATTGCCTGTTTTCAGTTTGGATTTCTGGGTGAGGTCCAAGTGGATTTCTCTGTGTAAACATAAGGATGCTGCTCTGAGATGACCAAATGTATGTTGCAAGTGGTTAAAAGAATCACGCTTTTCTGCTAGGTTGTTTTTTTTTTTCATTGTATTTCTTAGAGATATAAGTAGGTTCTCTTGGATTGTCGTTGGGCCTTAATTAAGTTTATTGGTACCAGCCTTTGATTTTTATTTCATGTTGAGAAGTGTTATAAGGTTTGGAGACATTTGTAGTTTGGGAACATTTGTTCTTCATATTTTCTTCCCAGCGGCTGTTCTTATTTCACCAAACTGTTACATTCCAGCAGTAGTTTATGGGTTTGCATGTTCATAGGCTTCTCGTCGTGTAGCTGAACCCAGGGAGCTGGTGCAAGCTTCTCAATGTTCAGAATTTTATGTTGCTTTAGTGACAGAATTTTCTGCTTTTATTTTATAGTCTGCATACTTGGCAACAGGTTAATCTCTGCTGATATCCATATTCCACAGACAGTATAGCCTGCAGCTGCTTTCATATTCATTGAGGTTTATATTATCAAATATTCTAGCCAAGCAATCCTTTTCCCCTTTGTTCTTTATAGAAATTTACTTTCAAGCTTAATCATTTTATAGAAACTTTATTTTTCTATTGCATATCAGTATTGGTTTTGTTTTTCCATAGTGATTTTCACTATATTTTTAATAATGCTTTATTGTTAATTTAAATATATAAAGTTCCTTTTATCTTTTCTAAACTGTAGAGTATGCAAACGTTAGCAGAATATTTTTGCTTGTTCATAAATGTTGTTCTTCCTTGCAAGTATGATGTTCTTGCAGTTCAGCTTAATCTTTTTGCACAGTCATAGCTGACCAATTTATAGTGCAATTATAAATGCAGAGTTCAATAAAAATATTCTTTATAAAATAGCTTCTGAAGGTAGTAAAGTTAGGCTGCATGTGTAAGGATATATAATGGCAGATGTGAGAAAGGGAGAATCACGTTTCCAGGAATGCAGTAGCAGTATCATAAAAATGTTGGAAATATTTGAAACAGTCTCATCCTTTCTCTCTGTACTGTACGTTTTCCTTGGTTTTGAAAGTGGCTAAAAGCAAGCTTTCTGGGTTTCGCTATAGGGCTATTCAGATGTGCTTTGAGGAACAGTTAAAACAACTTTCAAATTGACAGTAGTCTTAAAGTGCCAAAGCAATCAGTGTGTCACAGGTTTTTAATATTCACTAGTTTTACAGAGCATCTTCACCAGTGCACTGCGGAGAGATCAGCCACACTGGAAATCTGCTTTGTTATCTCTGGCTCACGTGTTTCTTCTTTTTAATTAATATAATAGCTTTTCTGTAATGTCGAAGTCCTGGGTGAACTTGTTACTGAACCTTCTTAATGCACAGGACAATATTACTATTTTCGTTTTACCAGTGAGTTTCAGTTACAGAATATCAGCTGTTTCAATCAAGAAAACCCATGTTAGCAGTGGAACCGTGTCACCCAGGTCTTCGTGATGCTTTATATGCAGCCTGTAGAAGTGACAAGGGATGACTCAGCCTGAAGACAGCACTGAAAGATTTTCTCCTGTTTGATACACAAAAAAAACAAAAAACAAACCAACCAAAAAAAACCCCAAACCAACAACCCCACACCTATTTTTTTTCCTCTTTTAAGAGAAGAAGGAATGAAAATTCTTAAAAAACCCACCACCGGGTAGTTTGGTAATGAAATCTGATAAAGTGGATGGAGAAAAGAGGAACAAGTGACAAATGGTCTTACTAAACCCCAACACCAGAGATTGAATTGATACGAAGATTTTGCAGAAAGGATATTTTTCCTAAAGATTCCACAGTTGGACGTGTCAGCCGAGGTTAAGCAGCTGTTGGTAATGGTGTTCTGAGACAGCTACACAGAGGCCCAGAGCTCTTGGCTTTTGTAAGGTCACCACCAAACTGGAAAGGAGACGGTTAATTTAGCTTCATTTGATCGCTACCCTTACTTTTTACCTTTTCTGGATACCTGGATTCTGGTCTTTGTGACAAAGCTCTTTATTCTTTAAACCACATAGTAGTGAATCGTGAAAAATTATCCTTTCTTTTTCTTCTTTTTTTTTTTCCTCATAAAATGGTCATACATTAAAAAAACAGAATTATTTTCAGCTTACTTTTAGGGCAACTGATGGGGTTTTTTTAATCTGGAGCCTTTTCGATGAGGCCTCAGGAAACTTCTGACTCACTTCATGCCTCTGTGTTGCCAATGTTACTTTTAACCTCTCTTTAGTCAGCTGTAGTTACGTAGCAAGAAATCACCACTGTGTCATGGTGGACTTCACCCAAGTGCAGACAAGCTCTCCCGGGCCCTCCCTTGGGTGCGTGCGCTGGGAGCTACCAGCACCCCAACAGGGCCTTCCTGACTCCAGTCACTTCAGTGTTGGTGTTCTTTAAATAATAAAATAATGTAACAGGGTTTATTTCATTATGTTTCCATATCTCACGTTTTGGTCTCTTTTCTATCTCAGCCCATGGCCTTCTCATTGGAGAATGAAAATGTCACCATCCTTTTCTGTTGTCCTGGTTTGAGGATGCAAGCTCTTCTCCTCTTTCGTTCATTTTCATTTTATTTATTCAAATTTTGAATGTGAATGGGTCAACATCACTGTATTCGCAAATCAGGTTTTCTTCCCTTTTTGTGTGTGTGCATGTGTTGTAGATTCCCACAGGTACAGGGGCTCACGTCAGTGAAATAACTTGGTTAACATCCTCCGTGATCCAAGTTCTGCAAAGATTTATGCTCAATGGAACTGTGTGTGTGCAAGATGCTAAGCCTGAAACTAAGCCTTGTAGGATTTCACTTCAGATCTGGTTATAAATATTTGCAGAACTGAGTCTTGAATTTGCCAGATATTACCTTTGAAGAAAATATTGTAATGTGATTACTTCTCAAACACCTAAACCTAAGTGCTTTTACAATTTTATGAAAACATATTGCTGAAAACTCTGGGGTCACTAAAAGTTTACATGTGTTTACTGTCTTATGAAATGTTTGGGGGGGAGGAGAGGGAAGGGTGTTGGGATTTTTCCAGTATTTAAAGTGTAGTTTGTATTTTACTTTATTACCCTCAAATAATGAAATAAGCTTTGCAGTCCTTCTTTGCAGCCCTTCCTGTAGTTCCTTCTAGAAAAAAAGTGGTGCCATAGAAATACTAGTAAAATGTAATGCAATGAAGATTTATTTGAAAAACTGTAAGGTAATCGTTAACAGAGGAGTAAATTGTTTTTTAATATATAGTGTAGAAGAGGGTTTTTTGTGCTGTTCTGCTTGAAAATGCCTATGATTATCTCCTTTGAGAGTACTTAAAAGCTATGTGAAATTTCCAGTTCCTAGATAGGCACTGTAGATGTCACGCTGTTGATGCAATTGCAAATGCAAATTTAATAGGAACACTAACTTTTAATTTCATGCCAACATATCTGTAATATGGGTGCTGTATTGTCTAAGATGTTTCGTTGTGGTTTGGAATTCAACTAACAGTGTTTGGTTTTACTGTCAAACATTTTTTGGGAAAGATTTTGTGAGCTTCTTTTATGCTACCAGCATGGAGCTAAGCAAAAAAAAACTGTTCAAGGAGTTAATTCTCATTAACCCTTTCAACACCAGATGTGTTACTACCACATGTTGTATTTGATGTCTGTGTGCCACAATGATTTAATAGAAATGCATTAAGTGTGGTATGAGAGTCCAGATTGCATGAATTTCTTGAGTATATATACTAATGTATAAGACACTCGAATTATCTAAATATGTTAACAACTTACTGTAATTATATTTTATAGCTTGTTGTTGCAACTGTTATAAATTTATTGGTAATCTTAATTTTGCAATTTAAATAGGCACCTGATATAGTTTAAACTGTGGGAAAATATCGTTCTAATGACCTGGCTTACTAAACATAATATATTTTTTATTCCATGCACCAATCCTCTAACGTTTGGAAGACACTGTTTTCAAGTACTTTGAGACGAATTATTTTCTTACTTTGAAAAAATCCTGTTCTTATTGCAGCTGGTTTTAGAAGAAGCTTTCGTCTTAGCAGAAAAGATAAAAAAACAAACAAATCTATGTATGAATGCAAGAAGAGTGATCAGTATGATACAGCAGATATCCCAACATATGAAGAAGTTGCAAAATATAGACGACAACCTAATGACAAATACAGGCTTGTTGTTTTGGTTGGTAAGTTGCTTGCTTTATTTCTGACGGGTAAAACAGAGGACTGCTGATTAGCAGAATGCTTACCACAAACTCATTTAGATTGAAAGGGAGTTCGGGAGGTCACCTGGTCCAGCCTGCCACTCAGCAGGATTAACGCTGAATTTAGAGCAGGTTGGTGATGACAACAGCTTTGGGAACCTGCCTTCCTACCTTGTCTTCTCTTGTCTTCCCACCACGCACCTCCCTAAAGAGGAGGCCTCCATCTTCTCAACTGGCATCAGAAGGATGCTGGTGGGTCCCCATGAAGCCATCTCTTCTCTGAGCTAGACAAGTCCAGTTCCCTCAGTCTCTCCTCGCAGGTCATTGCTTTAGCTCCTGACCATCTTGGAGGCCTTCTGCTGGCTTTGCTCCAGTTTATCGACATCTGTTTTGTAGTGCAGAGTGGACAGAATATTCCTCACAGGGTCTAATGAGTGCTGAGTAAATGGGAAGAGTCATTTCCCTCCGTCTACAGGTTAGGCTTTTGTTGATACAGCTCAGTCTTCTGTTAGCCTTCGCTGCTGCCAATGTGCACTGTGGACTCATGCTCACTGCCCACATAGACCACCCCAGGTTTAGTCTATCCCCAATGCAGGACTTTGTCCTCATCAAATTTCGCAAAGTTCTGCCAGCCCATGCCTGTAGCATATGAAGGTCCCTCTGAATGGAACCCCTGGCCTTGAGCAAGTCACTTGCATCGCCCATTTTGGCATCTGCAAACTTGATGAGAGCCCATTCTCTGCTCTCCTCCAGGTTATTGATACAGATATTAAACAGAGTATGTTCCTCAGGGTAGACCCCCAAGGAACTCCCCTTGTAACGAGTCACCCAGTATAGATCAGTAACTCTTACCCTTTGAATGTGATCATTCATCCAGTTTTTCACCTATCCAGTAGTCCACCGATGCAGACAGGATGTCCCAACTTGCTTATAAGTGTGCTTTAGGAGACTGTGTTTAAAGCCTTGCTAAAACAAAAGGAGATGACATGAAGATACAGCTGCCATGGTTACTAGTCTGCTCCTGGCAGTCAAGCTGTACTGAAACTCCAAAGAATTAGGTTGGGGTTCTCCTCTTAGAGATAAATCAATATATCTGTGGTAAAGAAGAAAAAAAGAACAGAATAAATACCTGTGGTCAGCCAAGACAGTGGAAAGAAACAAAGCCATCTACTGTGTTAGAATAAGTAAATAGACAATAGAAAGGTGGATGAGAGGTGGTCTTGTGTAGGCCAAAACCAGATATAAACACAGCTGCAGAAGACTCAAGATGTCATCCTTAGTCAGCTTTCTGTTCTTCTGTAATCTATTGCTGCCATGGGTTCCCCACAGCATTTATTATCTAACCAAAATGCATCACGCTTCAGTCTCTAAAAAAAAGAGAAAGTACATGATCTTTAATTTTTCAGAGGTAACCTTTGGGGTACCAACGAGTAGTCAATAACCATTGTTGCCAATGGGTAGTGTCTCATTGCTTATTGTTTCTTTTGCAGTAGAACATGGGTTGATGCTTCATTAGTAAAGTTTCCTCCGTTCTGAAAGCAGCAGAGCAGAGAAATATGACCCTCTATCAGGGACTGTTATGAACTGTTGAGTAGCTGTGTTTTTATATCGCTCATATCCAAGGGAACGTTAAATTTAGTTTTTAATAAACAGTTTTGTCACTCTCGAGCACTAAAATTCAGCCACCTACTAGTGTGATCACTGTGAGATTGTGGGCTATATACAACAAGTAATAACATGGCTGAGTTGATTTTACACTTACATCAACAGAGTGCAGTGCAAAAGTGTGATAAGTAGACTTTTTATAACAAATTGCATATGCCTGATCTAAGGAATACCTAGAGATTTCATTTGATTTTTTCCTTGTAATAAATCAAATGAAGAAAGTGTGCTTTTTCAGTAACAAAAGCAGTTCAGAAATTTATTGCAGACTTCAGTAATTCTAGTGTTTTTCTCTGGATATTAAGAGCAGCTTAAGTCTGGCCAATACCATAAAAATGTCTTGGGCAAAATGTGGAAAAACCAGCAGAGCTGAGCAACGCAGGTATAGTAGGGGAGAACACGTTTAAAAAGCTTTTTGTGTGCCAGTAGCAGCATTCAATATAATCCATCAAATATAATTTGGATATTAGTACCAGGAAACAAAGGGACAGATAATTAATTTATAGCTGTAATTGGTGGGGACGTTAAATGTCTGTTGTGTTTTGCTGGGCCTAAATGTATTATTTACTGTTGGAAGAGCTTTTTAGGGTTTGTTTTGCCCTTTTTTAGGGGGGAGGGTGTTTGACAACTCTGAAGTGGAAATTTCTTTTTGCTTCATTTTAAATTGGTCTAATCTAATTTACAGAATGCAAATTGCACACACAGTAATTTTTAGCACCCTGTAGTGTGATAGATATTAGTCTGGGGTTCAGCTAGATGTATTAGTTTGTCAAGATTTTACCTTGTCTGCAAATGTAGGCTCATGAATAAAGTCCTGCATATCCTTGGGGCTAACATAACAGATCAGCTGAAGCAGTAATCATACAGATGCTTCTGCTGTGCTTTCAGTTGTTACAAATGTGATGAGTCTGCTAAAAACAAAATTATCCAATATCATGTCACCAGCCTTCTTCTGGTAACTTACTGTTTCCAGGCTGCCAACAAATCCTTGAAGTCTTTCTTCAGAAATATTTCCTGCATCCTAAGCATGATACTTTGCAGCCCTATCAGGCAAAGGCAGAATATTTGAATATGAAACGAATTACTTAGACACTAGAATTTTCATTGACATTAATGAGGTCCTGCTCTGATTCTGCTTCAGTGACTGGGAGGGCCAGACTAGCACAAATTTTGTTTCTTGAGCCAGGATGGATGTGCCACATAATATAACTTTACAGGGTGTAGTGTCAGCTGAGTCAGAGCTTTCTCAAGGGGCAGTGCTGGGATGCGTTTCAGCAGCAAGAAACCAGGAGTGTGTCCCCCAGCGTGCACACAGGTGTGTGTGTTATCACCAGGGGTACACAAAGCCTTTTGGGTGCTGCTGTCACCCACGGTGATGTGTCTCCTGAGTGGTGACAGCAAGGAGCAGAAGTGTGTAACCACAAAGGACAGTTATTACTGGTGTGTGAGACAATCAGACAAGGCTCTCTGGCTCTGGATGAGGCTGCCAGTACTCCCTGCGATGGTGTCCTTCTGGTCACTGCTGCAAAGAAAAGGAATCTGGGACTGGAAACGTTCTCTATTGTTATATTGCTTATATTTTTTTAAAAAAAATCCATCACCTCTGGTTTTGTCATGAAGGAGCTACGTGGAGGCTATGTCTGTCATGGAGCAGGGAGGATGAAATGGAAGTAGCTCGCAGCTTTCTACATCTCCTGACTCACCTTTAACATGTGTTTGGTGATGGCTTGCAGAGACTTAAGAGATGTACAGCAGTAGTTCAAGTAATGGCCTTTCCTTTCAAATAGACTCCTGGGAGGTCACTGTGTATCTATGGGTGAAGAATGGCTGGTTGGGTTAACCCTCCTGAGACATGAACTTATATCAAACAGTTTTTTAAGTTTTCTTGAGACATGACTGAATGGTGCAACATTGAATGCAGGTTTTAATGACTGGTGGTTTAGTTCTGCAAGTGGCCCTCAATAAAGTGAGGTAGGCAATACAGCCCGTTTTTGCAAGATTCGACCATTACTTACGCGACTCAACATGCAACAGTAAGCAACATAAATGTTCCTTAAAAAAAAATAAATAAGCAAAATATCTCTAAATCTGTCACCATAACTCTAAATATTGCTGCCTGGGGTGATTTATAGTAACCCAAAACTAGGCTACAGTCATGGATCCCACATACCTGGCATTTTACTATAAGAATCTGGATTGTCCTTCTCAATCCTGGTGCTTTATTCTCGAGTTCAAATTATGTTCAGCTCCATAATTAGTAGAAACTGGCATCTTTCTGTGTTGCATCAAAATGAAAAGAATATTCAGAATAGAAGTGTACATTACACTTGGGAGATGTAGTGTAAAAACCAGCATAATGGATGGCATTGCTAATTAGGAATCAGCCTTCAGCGTCCATATGCTACAGTTATGAGAACTCTGTGAAGACAACACTGAAAAAGAAGAATCTACACCTTCCAGTAGTTAAATTTAAAGATGATTTTAAAGCAGTAATCTGGAAGGGGAGGCAGAGTAATAGTAAGGTTGTGGTCTGGAAACAGATTTGATCTAAGTTTCCAAAGCATCTGTCGCAGGAAGCCTGGATTCTTTAAATATAAATAGAGCTAAAAGCATAATGTTGATTCGACGGTGTGTAGACAGAGGAAATAATATTTGTGTAGATTTGGTGGGGAAAATCTTTTGCTTGAAAGAAAGACAATGTTTTGTGGTGGTGGTGGTTTTTTTTAACTGAATTCCACTTGTTTCATTCTACTTTGCTAGGATATATTGAGGCTTTAATTGCTTTTCCTATTAAAATCCATATTTGCCTTAAATAGCTATGCTATTAAAAAAGGAAAAATGCTTTTAAAAAAAAACCACAACAAAATTCATGCCATTATCTACATGACACATTGCTTTCCTCTGCAGACATGCACCAGTAGAGGCTGCTGTACACCATATTAAATAAACATTTATACATACTGATAGATTAATTTACAGGCAGGTCAGAGATGGAACTTGAAATGTAGTTGTGTATTTAACTTGTGTAAACATATAAAAATTATAAATGCAGAAACCCTAAGATTTTATAGAGAGACCATAGTCTGGGGCTAGTAGCAAAGCAGCAGCATTTGCTTTCCATCACTGTGTGTTTCTCACTTCAGACAGGGGGAACAGGCATTTTTACAAATAGGCACCTGAAGGTGCTGAAGCATCAATCTTTGCTTTTTGATACCAGACTCTCACTAGTAATTAACTAGTGCATCACCCTTTCATTAAAATGTTCATTAGGTTTTGTATTTCTGATGTCTAAAATAGCTCTGTTAAAAGGCACTCCAGGCATTAATTTATCGCTTTTACTACATGAGGAAGAATTTTCCTTAAAACCACATGTGTTATCCTTGTGTATCCCTGTGTTGTTATTATCTGGGGTGTGGTTCCACTGACTCACTCTGCTGTTGACCTGGCTCTGCAGAAATGAAGCCCCAGCCCTGTGGCTTCTTTATATATAAGAGGCAGGAGCAGGCAGAGCTGAGCTGCCTCCACCCACCCCACGCGACACCGTGGTCCCACCACCCCAGGGGCCAGGCAGGATGGAGCCCGGCCCAGAGGGCTGCTGGGGACAGGCAGCGATTGCCCCATGGAGCCTTTGAGCCCTGACGGGACAGAGCATCCTCACTGAGACCTGGGGCACCACGGGCAAATGGCTGAGAGTCTGGGACAACCCGAGAAACAAGAGGAAGTTCAGAAGCTTCTAGGACAGTAGTAGACAAACGGAGGTGGAGGAGACGGATCAAAAAAATTCTGTGCAGTCTTTGTTTCTTCCTGCCATCCTCTTTCCAAGAGTGGTCTTTTTTTGGCAGCTGCTTGAAGAAGGAAACATTTGCTTTGGACCAGTTGAGGCAGCAGGCAGGAGACAAGCGTAGTTTAAAAGAAAATCAAGAAGAAAGAAAGAAACCCAAACATCCCGAAGGGGTTGTGACCTGGGCAGTGCTGCCCTTCTTTCCTCTCCCCGTGCCATGTCACCCTGCCCCAGTCACAAGGTGACAGCTGGAGCCGGAGGGATTCCTGCCTGCAGCCGGGGCTGGAAGGAGCCCGGAGCCCCCCGGGCATGGGGAGAAGGTGGGATTGGGGCTCCTCAGGGGACTCTGGTGCAGACAAGGGATGCAGCAGCTGGAGGGAGCAAGGAGAAGGCCATGGTGACACATGGAGTGCAGAGGCTTCAGAAGGACTTAGCACTTGCCATCTGGGGTCCTCGAGTCTGTGAGTTGGGGATATCTTGGCAAAATGAAAAGACAAACCAGCTTTTGTGCTGGAAAGCTGCTGGTTAGGGCACAGGGGTCTGGAGCTGGGCTGAGGACGGGGATGGGTGGGTGCTGGGGGCAGCTGCTGGAGAAAAGGAAGTTGGCTTTGCTGTCAACTCTTGCACTGATTTTTCCTCAGGAGTGAAGTCAGAGCAGAATAACTGCCAGCTACATCCCCTGAAATTTGTCAGTGCAGGATATTCTAGGAGAGGCTATAACCATGGGCGTTTCCAAATGACTCTGATTAAAAGCCAGTATACATTATAGCTATATGCTGTGCAGCCTTACCTCGGAGACTGCTTACACCTGAAGACGAGAGAGAACTGGTTGTTGGGAAACAGCATGATTTTTTTTTCTTTCAGGTCCTGTAGGGGTTGGACTGAATGAACTTAAACGGAAATTGCTGATCAGTGACACCCAGCATTACGGGGTAACGGTGCCACGTAAGTAAAAATGCACTTCTCTTCTCCTAATGCTATACTTGCATTATTATCCTTTATTATTGCATTACCTTAAGGCACTTTCAAATTCGGGTCCCTAAATGCACGCTTGGCATCCAAATTACTTTTCTAATTTTTAAAAGTGCTGCTGCGGTTGTATTTTAAATAGCATTGATTAAACAGATAGGACGTTTTGGCTCAGAGGCATTGCAGTAGACTTTTAGTACAAGTTTAACATGATTGATGTCAGAGAGGTTTAGTGAGTGAAACTCAGCTGAAGAACACCCCGAGTTTGGCCGTAAAGCAGCGAAACGTGCTCTGTTACCAGTGCTTGCTTTCAGCAAAATGGCCTTTCTATGTTAGACAGGCTGAAAAACGAAGACTGATGATAAGCAGTTTAATCCTGTGAAGAAATGAATTCAATCCCTTTGATGAGCTTTAGAAAAGTTGGACGTTTTTTTCCTCTTTCTCCCTGTCTGACCAGGTGGTGTTACTTTGTATAACATTGAATAATATTGTTCTATATTAACTTCTACGATACTTTATTGGGGTTTCTTTAAGGACTTGACAGTTTTAGTTACATTTTTATTCCATGTTTTGCTTTCTACTTTTACTCGTGCCTCCTATAAGGATCCTTCAAAAATATGCATCCAACATTCTGCATTTGGGAAATACTGTCACAGGATTTTTGCAAGTACAAGCATTCTATAAAATACATATATGAATGAGTTTATAAGGTAGAAAAATGAATGCATTTGGTTTTGGCAAGTCATTTCATTTGCACATATTTGCTTCAGCTGGGTATTGAAAACAACAACAAAATAAGCCAGATGTTCCCAAATATGTAACACGCTGAAACATATGCGATCATTTGCCCAAAAATATTTCTCTAAAAATTGCCAGTATTCATCAAGCTGCCTTCTCTCTTTTCTCTTCCAAATTTGTGGTTATAATTTAAAACAAACACATAAAGAAACCCCTCTCCCTGAAATTCAGTAAGTCGGGAGCTGGAGGGAGAACTGGGGGTTCTTGTGGTGGACGTGCTCCTCTTCGTGTCACGCCACGGAGAGCGCGGTACCCAATGGCATCCGGGGCTGTTTCTGCAGCAGGTTGTGTGATCACACGTTCCCTGTGATGCTGGGACATACAGCTTGTATGAAATAGGACTTTCGAATGAGTTCATTATCCGTAAGCAACAGCCCCACAAATAAGTTTCATTTATAAACAAAACCTTTGCAGCTCCTACTTGAAGGAAAGACGGGCGAATGCTACATGGCTGCTGAAAGAGAAAGGAGTTTGTTTTTGATCACCAGAAAAGAAAAGCATTAAAACATAAAACTCACACCCCATTTTTTTATTATCATGCTGCACATACCGTAGCTACAAGTGTTGTTAATGAACATAACGTTTTATAAATCAGGTTGGTGAGCTTTGTTTCCCTTTATGGTCTTGTATGCTAATAAGTTTAACAAGTGGCGAGGTTGGGGTAATTGTTATGGACTGCTGCTCCTTTTATTATTCAGCTGTCCTCATTTTATTGGATTTTTCCACTAGTTAATAAAAATGATAATCTGATACTTGTCCAGGAGTTTTTTTCCTGCAGGCTTTTAAAACTCAGTCCTGTCCTGTGCTTGTGTGCTGCCTGCCACAGCCAGAGCAGCCTCTGTCTGTCTGTCTGAGGGCAGCGTTACGCTGGGTGTTGCACAAGGACTGTGTGCTTTACAGTGTTTCCTGAACTGCTTTGCATTATATTGTTTTGTGCATCTTTTCCTTCTTTTTTTTTTTTTTTTTTTTTTTTTTTTTTTAATGAAAACAAAAAAAAAAAAAAAAAAAAAAAAAAAAAAAAAAAGTTCTAGGAAAAATATTAAACCCTCAGGCTAGAGAAGAGACAGAGCAAGTGTTCATTACACAAATCAATTTGGTCAAAAGTACAGCACAGTGGGTACTCAACCATTGCTCACATAATATTGTCAACTTAATCAAATAATGCCTAGAAGACATTCACAAGCTCTCTCTCTCTGAGAAATGACTTGATTGGTGCAGCGGGAAAAAACATTTTTTTTTTTTTTTTTTTTTTTTTTTTTTTTAATTTAATGAAACTGCAGACACTACCCGGCCCAGGAGAAGCCAAGAAAGTGACGGTGTGGAATACATTTTCATTTCCAAGCACTTGTTCGAGACAGACGTACAGAATAACAAGTATGTTGAGGAGATTTTAACTAGAGCCGCGGTTACGACAATGGCTTTGGTATAAAATGGGGCCCTTTGTAATTTTAGATAATAAGTCAAAGTGGATGTAAGTTGCAGTGATCTGAAGATGTGTTAAAATTACGTTTTGCTGTCTAAGGAGTTCAAAGCAGCTGGCACAAACACCGAGGGGAAAAAAACCAAAAAGCAGTACGTGCAAACACAACTGTTTCTGAGCTTGTAAGTGTTCCTGGTACTTCGGCTCATCAAGAAGACACTGAAATTGTAGGTGCTCGGGATGAGGGAGCACTCCTTTAGCAGGGCATCATCTGCGATAGCAATAAAGCCTTGCAGCTGTAGGAGGGGGGGGCCGGGGAAGTGCTGCAAACGTGCCTGAGTCAATGTTTGCGTAGTTCTGCTCTCTTTCAGGCCAGGCACTTCCTCTGCTTTTGAATTTAGAGATCTACAGTGAAGCCCCTGCCCGTAAACCTGCCAGAAATTAAAGGAAAGTGGAGACAATGGTAGCATCGTGCTCTCCAGCAGCCTGTAAAATCCCGTAGCTTGAAATTCTGCCCCAGTGTTTCAGAGGGCAAAAGTGTATTAGACACAAAGCTGCGGGTTTTATTGAAACTTCAAACTGTGCTTTGCTTTTTTGGCAAATAGTGCTGGTGCTTTTATAGCGCATAACCAGCCGCCTTGGTTCCATTAGCACCATCGTCGCTCCTCCTCCTCTTCTGAGACAGAGAATTTGGATATTCTGCAGTGTGCAATGAAATTTCAGTAGTTTCTATTGTTTAGCTTATCCACTGTTTTATTGCGTTGCATTAGTTCAGAAAAAGAGGTGATGGAAAACATTAGTGGGCTGTTGGACTACAGTGCTTTTTTCTCTTTAACTGTAACACAAGCAGGTGTTACTGATTTGAAAGTGGTAAAGTAGAAGATTTCTTAAAATTGACATGCTGAAGTACTTGACAGCATTTCCTTTATAAAACATGGCAAAACTCTCATGTAAAGTAAAATATTTTCACTCCTGAATTAGATCTTACCAACCAAACTGATAAGGATTTTTTTTTTTCCTGGAGAAAATGGGAATGATTCCAATTGTTTTCCCCTCCTGCCCCAGGTTTATCGAGTACGGCGAGTACAAGAACAACTACTACGGTACGAGTCTGGACTCTGTCCGCTCTGTTCTAGCTAAAAACAAAGTTTGTTTGTTGGATGTGCAGCCTCATGTAAGTAAGCACGTATTTTGGACTCTTGTAGTTCCCCACATTGATATTGGGATTCCAGGGAATGACTGTAGAGTGGGCTTGCTGGGAACCTTTATCACAGCAAGGCTCTCTGAGAGGAGGAGGGGAAGGAAACTCCAATACACATTGGCAAGGATTCAGCTCAGTAATTAAGTGAATTGAAAGGCTGCAGCATGATACCAAAGATTTAATTACAAAATGCTCCTGTATTTCCATTCATCTTCCTGCTGGTTTGGGTTAGAGTTTCTCTCCGAAACTTCAATTTCAGAATGGCTTGAGCTGCCACCCGGTCCAGCAGCTCTCACACGTTTCACCAGCCCGTTCATGGACAAGGTTTCCGTGCAGGGAGGACACGAGTCAAGGAACGCACTAGATGTGGTGTTGGCTGGATAATTGTTAAGAACATTCCTCTCTAAACCATTTGTTCTTGCACTGACCTTGTCTTTCACCCCTGCTGAACAGCTCCGCTGGGAATTTTTACACTCCTAATAACCACAGTGCTTCCAGGAGCTGGACTAGTTTGTTTAAACCCAGCCAAGGTATTTCTTCTCCAAGGGTGGCCAGTCTGTGACTTCTGAACCCTGGTGGCTTGTGGCCAGTTCTGGGGCAGGTTTGGCTGTGGGGCCGTGCCCGAGGAGCAGGGCAGGGGCTGCGTGGGCAGGGGGGCAGTCGGGGAGCCTGACCCCCACCAGGGGAGGAGGGAAGAGCTGGGAAGGAGCTCCTGGGGCTGGTATCACCAGGGTGCTCAGCCAGACCACTGCCTCTCAGCACGGCCCTGTTTTCCACTCAAGCACTAAATTCTCTCGGGGACCCAGAGCTGCACCCACGTCCCACTCTGTGACACGGCACTTGTCTGTGGGCCCTGGCAGCATAAAGAGGACAGAAAGCTGCTGGCCATCCCCTCCCTGCTTCACCCTGTGCTCAGTCCAAATTGTAGACCCATCTCTGACCATCTCTAACTCCATGTGTAGCATCTCTAGACTGACTCGGGAAGAGTGAACAGCAGGAGTTACGTGGTGGAGGCACAGTATTGAAGAAAAAGAATAATCACACCTGTTGTGACCGAGTGTCACAGACACCTTTGCCCGGTGCTTTTCATGGGTACAGAAGGTGTTGTTCCTGCTGAAACACGTAGATCTTTTCCTCCCTCCACCCTCTCACTGCCAATGGCACTGCAGCACAGAGCCCTCCGTGCCCGGGCGGGTGGGCTGTGCCAGCAGCCTGGGTGGAAATGGGGTTTTCTTACTACTCACATGAAAATGCTCCTTACGTGAATCATGTGGGTCACCGGGGCGGGATGGCAGCAAATGAAAGATAACTGCCTTAGGGCTGCTGTGTGGGTTTATTTTGGTTAATGGAGAGTTTCTTTTATTACGGTAAATTCCATTCTGCAAAACAAACCAATTAATTAAAACCTTTCCTCTTCCCAGACAGTGAAACACTTACGGACGTATGAATTTAAACCATTTGTTATATTTATAAAACCTCCGTCACTCGACCGTTTGAGAGAGACCAGAAAAAACGCCAAGATTATTTCAAGTAAAGATGACAAGGGAACTGCAAAACCCTTTACAGTAAGTAAATATAGACATGGTAAAACAGGAGAACTTGTTAGGAGTTTTGTTGTAGGGGTTTACCCCCAAAATAAAAGGTGATCACTGGATCTCAGCAGCGGTACCTGTCAGGGCTTACACACAGGATCTTCTTATTTCCCAGCCTCTCTCACATCGCAGATTTACTGTGGTGTTTGCATTGTTTACATGCTCACGGGTATTTACATTTCCATAGTCCCCTGGGTTTATGTCCTTGAAGAACCCCCACAATGCAAGTATATTTTTATGAGAAATAATGCTGTGGATTTCCTCGAAAAAAATTTGCACGTAGGCTTAAATTTTTTCCATTTAAGTATAAGAATTTCCTTTTTTAATCAAGCGTGGTTGATTTTGGTCTAAATTTGGAAGGAAGCCCAAATATAAGCATATAAGCATAAATTTAAAAAGTAAATGTTACTTTAATAAAAATCCCATATTTGTGCATAAAAGAAACAATTTTTAAAAAGTTTATAGGAAAATGGACACTGTAAGAAAGAAGGAGAAAAATTGAAGCAAGTATCAAATGCTGCTTTTTGACAATAATCAGAAAAAAATATTGGTCACATTACCCAACAGTAACTTATTTACTTCCTTGAAATATAATGAAATCATATTGTAATTGAAGCTGAAGCAAAGCTGATCGTCATTAGACTTTTTATCTACATTTTCAGTGTGTATCATTTTCCCTCATTCAGATGTTATTTAAGATTTTTCTAGATTTTGGTTCAAATTGGGTCACTGATATAGTCACAGGTTGTATCTGTGCAGAATTTGCATTTGAAATAGTTTGGAAATAATGTGCCATAAAAATATGTTCTATGTTCTATAAAATGTAAGAGGAGTTCATGCCCCATCCCTGGAAACATTCATGGGGGTTGGAAGGGGCTCTGAGCAACCTCATCTGGTTGAAGATGTTTCTGCCCATTTTGGGGGGGGTTGGACTGGGTGACCTTTGGAGGTCTCTTCCCACCCAAACTAGTCTACGGTTCTGTGATTCATTCTTCAGAGCAGCCTTCAGGACACTGCTTTGGTAGGACGGGTTTAGTCTCTCAGAGTTAAGTAAACAATGAAATCCTTAAGATTTGTTTCCTCCCCAAATGTGAAGAGAAATCCACTGAGCTGGGACAACAGCCCCTTCCCAGCTCCTAAAAGAATAAAAGCTGCGCTGTAATATATCGCATGCTAATAGCGATAGTATTAGTACAAGCTGAGATGTAAGTAATGGAACTTTAAATGTATCATCAAAATAAACAGCTGGAAACATTTCCCACTGGTACCACTAACAGAAAACGTCTCGGTAATTACCATGTAGTGACTAATTGTGTCACTGCAAGGGGAGAGATGAAAGAATTGCCTGTTGAGCAAAGTCTACTCATGAGAATACACCTGATATCAGGTGTAATGGTAATTTCTATCATTTTTTTGAATGAAAAGTACAGATTCCATCTCCTGATGAGATTAGCAATAAGTAGCTTTGCGTTTACCACAGAGTGAGTGGATGTGACGTTGCTGTGGGCTGACTGTGCCTTGCACTCACCTGACCAGGAAGAAGATTTTCAAGAAATGATTAAATCTGCCCACGTGATGGAGAGCCAGTACGGCCACCTTTTCGATAAAGTGATTGTCAACGACGACCTCGCCACGGCTTACAGTGAGCTCAAAGCAACTTTTGACAGGTTGGAGACCGAGACCTTCTGGGTTCCTGTCAGCTGGTTACATTCATAACCATTTACATGGACAAAACATCTGCTGTTACCTCAGCTTCTGCACGTGGGGCATGGCTGGGCTTTACTCCATGGCCGGTTTCTTGGTAGGAGGGCTTTCCTACTCTGCATCCACTTGGGACTGGGCTCCTTTTCCTGGGTCTTCAATCCTCCTGCCCACGATTTTGGGGCAGATCAGTCAGATTAAAGCGAAGTCCTACTATGCTCCATAAGGTGAGGTAACACTAGTGTAACACAACAGCCAAGCACCTCTTTAGTGTCACCTGTGTGTGTCCAAGGTAAGCTCTTGTAGCAGAGAGTTTGCAGAAGATGCTAATTAACACTGGAGATCAGCACTTTGATGGTTTTAGGCATAGCTGCTCCCATAAAGAGCACATCAGCACTTGGAAATTATTACCCCTTAAGTGCTTGAGAGAACTGAAACGGGCAAAAGTGACCAACATTTTTATGAGGAAGATGTAGTTTTAGTTGCGTATGGAGATAAGTGTTTTTACTTTTCGAGAGGTGAACCTTGTCTTACGTGTACAGAGTGATTGTAGTTTTCCTTTGCACTTGTGTAGTCATGGCAAGAGAGACGTGTTCAGTGGCTTAATTGTGAAACTCTCTGCTGTGAGCATGCACGGGTTGAAAATACTTTGACGCATGCTTTGTGGCACAACAAGGAAAACTCACAGGAATATTTATTTAAATAGGGAAAAATGTGAGTTACTGTATATATAACTTCAAGTCTTTGGGATTAATCTCCTGTAAAATCAGTGGCAAAGTGATATGAATAGGAACAAAGTGGAGAGTAATTTTTTTTTTTTCCTCTTTAAATTGGTTTCAAAAATTTTTGGCATCCTTTAGAACATTTTTCCCATCAGAAATTTCAAACAATTAGTGAGGAAACTTTGGCGATCTGGGAAGCAGTTGCAAGAGATTAATTCTTTTTATTGTTTAGTATGTAGTAATACTTCGTAGCAGTGTAACAGCTATTTTGTCTCCACCCAAAAATTAAATAATGCCGTAGACTTCACTGTAAAAAGTATCCTTGTCACTGGTCAGACACAGTGGGAGACCTCATTTTAAAATTTGATGTGGGAGTGTCAGCAAATGTATATTAGCCGATGTATTTTTAATAGAGATAATTTGGTATTTTTCTTTATTTACTACTGATATGCAGGAAATGAGTACGTCTGTAAAGAGCAAGTAACACCTGTGTGTTGTGTTGTGAGTCTGTCTCGTAAGCACGGAGCGTGCGTAGGAGCTCGCTGACCTCAGACCATCCCATCTGTGGCACTCCAGCAGGAAACCCTTAGTTCATGTTAATCTGTAAAGAGAATATAGCTGTCTTGTTTAAAGAAAAAAGAATTTAGTGAAACTTTATATATTTATGCAGGGGTTGAAAAGGGATGTTAAGTTTTTAAATATCTTGTCAATGTGATCATTTACTAAGGAGATTACTGCGTCTGTAATTTGAAACACTGTCTCTGTAAATGGAGCTCAACATTCCATGTAAATATTTTATTTCAGTTCATACGCTGACAAAGCCATCAGATTTTGCAGTTTTATTCTAAATGCGTATTTAATGTGTGGGTCATTGCGTTTGGCTTAGAGTCGTATAAAATAAATGAAATGCAAGCAACAACAGCAAAATCCCAAGGAGTCTGGAAATGTTTATGCAAGAATTACAGATGTACTGGATCCCAGTACGGATACACGCTCCGCTTCAGCAGCTAGAATGGAACTTTTGTCAAATTTCACCATTTTCCTGGTGGACTTAAAACTCTTTTGTAACATAAATAGAAATTTGTTGATGAAATTAATTGCACGGAGATTATGTGAGTCGAGGAAACGTTTTCTTTTTTTTTTTTTCATTACTGAAAATCAAGCTATTTTTCAAGGGATCTGGAATTGAGCCTTTGCCTGTGAGATGCTGAGTGCCCTCGCCACCTCTTGCAACCAGCCCAAAGGGAGAGGACACTCGGCACCTCTCAGGATCTGGCTGTTTCCAACAAGAGGGGCTTTAGTCCTCACTGAAACGCTCTTAATGCCGCTTGTGACCTGGGCTGTCTCAGAACATGCGTGTTCGATAGTGCTCACGTGAGGGACCTGCTTTTCTCCTTAAGAGTAAGAACAGAATAATCTGAAAACTCCGCTAGAATAATCTGCAAACTCCCTGTTAGGAAGGGTTCTGGCTGTCCTGGGGGCTGTTTTTCCTGTCCTTTTGAAATGAGTTTAATTCCCATTCCTGGGCCGGTGTGGTCTAGGAGGACCTTCTGCGCCAGGTTTGCAGTGTTGGGCAGCGCTGAGCGGCGCTCGCAGGGACACTGACCCTCTGCTCCCCAGCACGGCTATTTTTCAAGGGATCTGGAATTCAGCCTTTGCCTTTGAGACGCCGAGTGCCCTCGCCACCTCTTGCAACCAGCCCAAAGGGAGAGGACACTCGGCACCTCTCAGGATCTGGCTGTTTCCAACAAGAGGGGCTTTAGTCCTCGCTGAAACGCTCCTAACGCCGCTTGTGACCTGGGCTGTCTCAGAACATGCGTGTTCGATAGTGCTCACATGAGGGACCTGCTTTTCTCCTTAAGAGAAAGAACAGAATAATCTGAAAACTCCACTAGAATAATCTGCAAAGTCCCTGTTAGGAAGGGTTCTGGCTGTCCTGGGGGCTGTTTTTCCTGTCCTTTTGAAATGAGTTTAATTCCCATTCCTGGGCCGGTGTGGTCTAGGAGGACCTTCTGCGCCAGGTTTGCAGTGTTGGGCAGCGCTGAGCGGCGCTCGCAGGGACACTGACCCTCTGCTCCCCAGCACGGTCCTGGCAGCAGTTTCCTAGAGGGATGGCTGCCTGCCCCGGCTCCCAGCCAGGAGCTAATTCCTGGATTGTAACACCTGCACAAAGAAAAGGAATCACAAAAACATCAATCCAGCCAGCGGAGTAAAATGTGCACAATCTTTGAGGAGTGAGTAGTTTTAATTAAATTACTAGATTGCTCTTGAAAATCAACATTATTGCAGTGTAAGCAAAAGAAAACAAAACCAAACCAACCCAAATCAAAGCCCCTGGCCCATGAGGTGGGCAGGGATGACAGTAGGTCAAGGCAGAAAAATCTTAGCCCAACAGTTTCAGGAGGACAGGAGCCTGGTGATGGCGATGGACGCCGAGCCCGTGTGCTGAATTGCTCTGGGATACCAGACGGGGGGAGATTGTTTCTTTGACTCCTAAGAATTTGGGAACGAAAATGACTAAACATGTTTCCAATATTCCACATATTCGAGTTGTGCTGTGTGGGTTTTTAGAGAACTGTATGTTTTCGCAGTCAAGTCCAGATGTTTTTATTGTGTTTTAGCTGTTTGCCATAGTCATACAACTGGTAGGATTTTTTAATACTGTACCAAGCTCTATACTTGAATTTGCCATCGGGTCCTTGGTTGGTGTCTTACCTGAAATCTGATCTTACCTTCTTATGCAAAATAATAAATTATTGATATATCACTAAAGGTGGGTTTTTTGTTTATTGTAAATTGCACCAAATCATACAGGCTTAATGACTTTAAAAGGTAAAATGCTTAAGTAATAAGTTCTTTCAGAAGCGTCTCTATTAACTTTGAATCTCCAATAATCTTCAAAGGGAAAAATAAAGCAACTTAGAACAAGGACTAAATTTCTTAATTTTTCTTTTTTGTTGCTGAATTTTCCTTCAAAATAGATGTTTACCCTTTCCTGCAGCCTACCCCAAAATAAGCCATTTTCTTTCGGAGAGGAAAAGCTGAAGTCCGTGGGTCCAATGGAGAGGTGAGATCACCTGGGCTTGCGAGGTGCTTGGCGAGTTACTGAGCTCTGCACTCGGTGTTTCATGGGTCACGTTCTGTGTGTTTGTAGGACTCAAAGAAAGCGACGCTTAAACTAAGTTACTTTTTGCATTATATTATGTCTTTTCCAGAGAAAAAAAAAAAAACCTAACACATGCTGGGATTAGAGAGAAGACTTTTAAGCCCCTTCTGTTTTGTTTCAGTGCAGTGTTCTGCATTTCCCACATGTACTTCAGGTCAGGTTTCTACTGTGCGCGGAGAATTTTTTTTCCTCGGTAAAGCTCATAGATTTTTGTGAGATTGTTTCAAAGGATGAATAGTTTTTTCAGAGATTGAATGTTCTAATCTGAGTCTATTTTTGCTACTGCAGTATCTACTGTCATTTCCCCATGGGATTAAGAGTTTTCTGTGTATCAATGCTTAAAATCATTCCTACTTGCAATTTGCCTAAGATTCTTTTGCTCTCAAAGTCATTAAGTATTTATGATATATTACCATGATTAATGTGTGATACCAAGCATTCAACGGAAAAATGTCTGAACACCAAATTAAAGGAACACAGTGGGTGTATTTGTTGTTTAAGAATTCTGGTGCTAGATAATGGTTAAAGGCTTCAGCAGAAACATACACAAAGCCATTTGGAAACAGTTAAAGTCTGGTCTTAAATTTTGTCTTATGTTAAATGACAGTACAAATGAGAGAATTTAGAATTCTAGACAGCTGGAGACTTTTTCCCTCTTGGTATCTGTGTCTGAAATACAAGTTGGATATTTGGAAGACTGTATGGAATGATTTTACATCTCTATAATAAAATGCTATGGTATTTTGTGTAGCTGACATCCAACATTTTAACAGAGGGTAAATCCTTGTGATTATTGAGACATTGGTTTTGCTTCTATTTTAGTTGTACACATATGTCTGTTTAAACAAGTTTTTAAAGACTCAGTGGCACAAAGCTACCAGCTACACATTTCAATATATGAATGGAGAAAAACATTTTCATGATTTCCAAAAGGGCTCAAATGGCACAAACAATATTTGAAAACTTCTTGATAAGAAATAAATAGAGAAAATTAGGTCGCAATTGCTTTGCTAACTACTTATTCTCTTCAGTAGTCACATTAATATTCACTACTTGAATATGCTAAAAAAACACCAGAAACTATGCTATAATTTTCCTCAAGTGAAATTTAGATTTGTGGTTTAACAAAGATGTGACAAGCTTTCTATAGGGTTATACACAGACTCATGGAAACTTAGTTTTAAGGGGTTCGGTACGTGTTTTAAAGGCAGAGGGTCTGTGAGTGTGGCAGGGAGGGACTGAGAATATTACAAATGAGAGCAGTACCTTGGAAATGCATCTTTGTTTTTGTAAGTCACTGAACGAGGAGGTTTGCAAGTTGGCTGCGAATGTTCTGTGGTTTCTGTTCCCTTCTTGGTAAATATAAATAAGCGCCAGTAAATCTTTATTGGTAAGCAAAGCCAAAAGTGTTGGAATTATGGAGGGTTGAAATGCAGCACCCAGAAGGAGTGCTCCGTATCCTGGTGGTGTTGGCAAAGCTGGTGCTTTCTTCCAGTTTTGTTAACTTTTACAGCAAGAGTACAGACAGCAAAGCTTCAACACAAACTTGCTAAACTGGGGTTAATCATTGGCAATTATTTCTTCTTTTTTTCCCTCTTGGCCCTTGTACCGCTTTAGCTCAGTAACCTCAGTCATAAAAGGAGGGGAACAGGAAAATTGTATCATTTTGAAGAACAGTGAGACACCAAAAAATTGATACAGGGACATTTTTGATTTCCTTCCCAATGGACACTAGAGGTGGTGTGTTTCCGAAACAAAGGGGTGAAGAGCTCCTGTTTGATCCAGACGAGGAAACACATGAGCAGAGTTTTGTCCCATGAAAACAGAATTGCTCTGAGAAGTCTCCGTGGCCGGTTTGATACAAGAGCTGCGTGTGACAAAAAGGGCCAGGAGCACTTTTATGCAGCCAGTGTTGGCTTCAGGACTTCTTGATTATGAAAATGACAGTTGGGGGCGGTTCTGCTTGCTTTGTGTGTGACCTCTGGGCATTTCATGGGGTGTGTGTCCCCTTTCCTAGACAGGCATTAGGGGCTTATTCTTCAGGAATTATTTTCCCCTGAAATTGGGCTAGGGTTCAAGTGCTGGCAGTAGCCACCATGTCTCATGATCAAGGCACACGTTTATGATGGGGAAATGGCAGAGATGGAAGCATGGATAGAGACCACTCCGTAGTGCATCTGGGTCCTCTCGTATTTGAGCCTTTCCGAGAGGTTTGCACACTGTGCAAACGGGTTATGCTTCCCCATTAAACCTACTTCAATGCACCTTCTGGGGCCCTGCTCCCAGATACAGACTGGCCTCTGTTAGGCACCATGTGAACATGGAACGAAGGTGTCATCCCAGGCGCAGAGAAGCTCCTTAGAACAGTGAGAGGGATGATCTCAGAGGTCCCTTCCAGCCGTGGTGATTCTGTGAAGGCGCGAAGAGATGCGGTGAGTACGACTCTTCTTACCAAGGGGCACCAGAGGCTGCGCTGGGTCTGGGATTCAGCAGCTGACAGGAGGATCAGGTGTTCAGGGGGCTTCTTGGCAGGGCTTCAGCCCCTGCTGGGCAGTGCCCAGGGGTGGCAGAAGGTTGGTCCCAGCGGCCGTGGGGCCAGCGTGGCTGCAGGAGGGAGTGTATCCGCGCAGGTACGAGCTGTGCTCTGCCTCCCCACCGGTTCTGCTGATCACTGCAGATGGAGGCAGCACCTTCAAAGTGCCATCTGCAGCCCTGGCTGCCACTGAGCGGAAGGCACAAAAGGGGGTCATTCTGTTT